CCAACTACATATTGTTTGTAATCTCTGTCTACAATGTATCTGAACTAGTCCTTTTCTTTGTTTCTATTTTTTTTTCTGTATATGTGTTTGTCTGCAATAAAAAGTAAAAACAAAAATAATAATATAAAAAAAAAAAAAAATTATCGCGCGATAAAAAAATGACGCCGTTAATATTGATTTGCGTTAACGCGTTAATAACGCGATATTTTGGACAGCACTAGAAATTACTTGAATATATTTTGTACTGAATCACTGACGAGGAATTATTTCAGCTCAATTGTAATGTTCTGAAATAATGATCTTGATCGATTGATTGTGTGTCTTTGGATGAGTGAAGCCGTGAAAGGACAGTGGCTGTATTGATGTTTGTTTGAATCAGTCTGAGACATTTTTTTTCACAAATATTGGGCTGCTAATGTGATGAAATCTAGATTTATATTGAATAAATGTGTAGAGCTGTAAGCATCTTGGAGTTATTGTACTATGTTCAAACTCTCAGATCCCCTAGCATAGCATTATCACTTTTCATCTAAATTCACAGAATTCTCAAAGTAAATTGATAAGCAAAGATTAGTAAATATTTAATAGGACCTTAAGTTTGAAGTGTAAACTTTGATGGGTCTGTTTTGATTTTATTTGTGGTCATGTGACCCCTGGTGGTGTCGATTTACCGTGAGCCACACGACCTCATCAACCCCCAGCACCCTGTCTCTGAGCGGGCTCCATAAAACCCCTGGACGCCTCCACCTGTCCTCCTTCTGGCCCTGATCACGCCACGGACTTATACCCGTCCTGCCTGTCGTCCTGCCTGTATGGAGCTCATTCAGAACGAGACCAGGCCATCTTGTTTTTTCATTTGTTTTGCTTCGTGACATTTGTTCTTGCAGCTGAACATGTGCGGGACAATTTCTCGATTCTTCCAGCAGTGGACAGCTGCGGCGTGAATTACACTAAAGCTGCTGCTCTGGGGATTAGCCTGTTTGTGTGTGCCAGAGTGTGTCTTGCCTGGCACATGTTAACCCGTGCAGTCAGAGGTCTTCAGGTCTTGGACTTGGACCAAAATTCACGCTTTTACTGTCTTCACTGAAGTTTATGAGTCACTTTTATGTTCATGAAAGGTTATAGAGAAAAACATCACTGTGAAAATATTCTTTCTTCATCATACTTCATTCCTGATATCCATTTTATTTTGTCATCATAAAACGTACAATTGGCCGTTTGCCACTGTAGCACTTTTGGGTTAATGCGAATCTCGGGATGACCACTTTGAAGTATGGCCTTTCAGCAGCGGGTGCCTGCAGAGCTCAGGATTCGCTTTGGTCAAAAATCAGCGTGAATCATTTTGACCACAGAGAATAGATTGATTTCTACAGGAAGAGGCTGAAACCCCTGAAATTGGTGGAGGTAACAGGACACCGTGCAGTAAAGAGGGGATTTTTTTCTGCAGTGAGAGCCTCTCTGTGTTAATCGCTGGCTCTATCTGTAAAATCTGAGCGTGGTGCCAAGTCCTGATCCTTTTATTGATAGTTTGAAGAGGCAGCGCGGGAGGCAAGAGATGTCCGGGAAATACGGTATTAGTTTTACGTTTTCCGATCAACTTAAAGTCAAAGAGGCTAAACCATATAATGTTTAATTGATGTTGTACGCATAAACACCACCAAACGTGAATTCTTTATTGATTCATTTAGATTTTTACACGTTGCCCGACAAGAAAGTAGTGTATTTGACAATCTATCTACAGTTGTGCCAGAAATATGTCAGGAGCTGACATCAATATTTTGGCTTTCCCACATTGTTTAAGAACGGTAATACAAAAGTAATACAGCAATATTAAGTCAGTGACAAAAATAATAACTTGTCTATTTCCACAATCTGCATCTCCGACCTGTGGCTTGGGAGCTTCCAGCAGCTCGCAAGCCGCGTTCAGGTAGCTCGTCAAAGGATTTAGAATTTTACACATGATCGTGAATGAAGAAAGTTTGAGTACATACATTTATTTATATGTATAATTTGTACATATTTAGGGCAATAGGTCTTTAGGGCAATAACCAATTTGTCTAATAACAAAAGTACAGGATTGGATGGAATCTCTGCTGAGCACTTAAAGTTTGCAAGTGTGAGGCTGGCCCCACTGCTTTCTATCTGTTTCACAGCTTTTCTTGTGCATGGTTTCATACCAGACTCTATGTTAGCTGTGTTATTGGTTCCAGTCATTAAAAACAAAACTGGGAAGCTTGGCTGTTCAGATAACTACAGACCGATAGCCTTGGCTAGTATAGTGTCTAAAATCATTGAAGCTGTCCTTTTGGAAAGGATTCTCAAACTTGTGAGATCTACGGATAACCAGTTTGGATTTAAGACCAGGTTAGGCACTGACATGTGTATATTTGCACTTAAAGAGGTAATTGCTAAATATAGAAGACAAAATTCTTCTGTTTTTATGTGCTTTTTGGATGCTTCAAAAGCATTTGACAGGGTCAATCATAGAAAACTATTCTTGAAATTAGCCCAAAAAGGTGTACCCAGTTATGCTGTGCGTTTTTTAGCATACTGGTACTCACAGCAAACAGTGCAAATAAAATGGGGGAACAGTGTATCTACCCCTTTTAAAGTGAGCAATGGGGTCCGACAGGGGGGTGTTCTGTCCCCAGTGTTATTTAACCTGTATCTAGACGAACTGTCATCTAAACTCAAAGACTGTCACACTGGCTGTGTCTCTGGAAGAACTATTATGAACCATTTTTTGTACGCAGATGATTTAGTCGTGTTTAGTCCAAGTACGGCTGGTTTACAGCAGCTCCTTAATATCTGCTCAACTTATGGTCTGGAACATGATATTAAGTACAATAGTTCGAAGAGTGTGGTTATGATTTCTAAAACCAAGGAAGATAAGAACCTGACATTTCCTAACTTTTGTTTGTGTAATGATGTTTTGCATGTTGTCACCAAAATCAAGTACCTCGGGCACATCATCACTGAGGACATGTCTGATGATGATGACATTTACAGACAATGCAGAGTGTTGTATGCCCAGGCTAATACCCTGGCACGGAAGTTTGGCTGTTGTACAGAGAGAGTGAAGCTAACGTTATTTAAAGCGTACTGTACTCCCTTATACACAGCTCATCTCTGGTCTCATTATAAGAAAGCCAGCATGCGTAAGCTCCAGGTGGCCTATAATGATGCTTTGCGTGTGCTTTTGAAAAAGCCGAGATGGTCAAGTGCCACAGAAATGTTTGTTAATGCCAGAGTGAACACTTTACAGGCCGTGCTACGAACTTTGATGTACAGCTTTATGTGTCGATTGAACACGTCTGAAAATGAAATAATAGTGTCCCTCACGAATATAAAATGGAGTGCGACACGGTATCAATCTGACTTGTGGAAACATTGGCATGGTTGTCTTTTTAAAATGCCATTTTAATTATCTGTCTTGTGCTTTATTTTTTATTTTTTATTTTTTTTTTTATTTAATTGTATTGGACTGTGAGTCCGGAATAAAGTTGAATTGAATTGAATTGAATTGTACATATATATTATGTGTATAAATATAGGGTTTTGCAGTATTATGGTATATTTTACATGTGTTCTCCATGTTTTGTTGTAAATATTAGATAATTTTTTAGTATGACTGGAAAAAGTAGTTTCTTTCTGCCTCGTCTTTTTATAAAATTCCCCTGGTCTACATACTTTTGGTGTTCACTGTATGAAGTGACCAAGACTGAAAACATTTTAACACTGAAACCAAACCAGCTTAGTGACCTCTGATTCACTATGATGGAATCTGTTTTCTAACCAATTTCCAAAAGAACTTGGTGGACACCCAAGATGAAACTGACTTTCACCTTATGACCACAGCATAGGTCTCCTATAAAATATAAACCACACTTCACACCCTCCTTCCATCTTGGTCCAATTTGAAATCCATTTAACCTGGTCAAACCTGCACAACTTGACCAATTGTGACCGCCCAATGGTAAGGACCTTGTGTTTTGTGTTTACCTTCCACTCATTTCAAAAGTGGAAAACCATATGCCAGTGCAGTTTTTTGAGTCGTTATTTTCTTGCCGCGCCACGCTAGTCGAAGATAATGGGCATTTTAACAAGCTGATTTTATTTGTGCGGCAAGTGGTTGAGACACGGGCCGCCACGAGGATGAGTTTACAACTGACCACACAGGAGGCCAGGGCCAAGCCAACCTGGTTTGATGGAGGGGCCCCAATCTTTACTGAAGTCTGCTCAGGACCTTTACAACCCCCGAAAACCCAGAGGCGAGCTGTGGAGATGGGGATCTACTGTTATGGACGAGGTGTTGGCGTCTGCCGGATGATGTTTATGATTTAAACGTTAACAACTGCTGCACTTACGGATGATCAGACTCATCTCATCATGAGCCAATGAGCTTCTCCATAATAACCCAACCAGCACGCCTCGAGATATTAGGGATCTAAGGAGTTTCATTGTCCTGTTTCATGCAACATTGTTAAGGACTGATATACACACTTTTCAGCTATTCAGATATTCACACTTTTCAAACAGCTGTTGGCCTCAATATGTCATCATTGTACTATGACTCAATAAGGTGTATTTATCACACTCTAAAAGCAGATCAATCTCAAGTTTAAATCTCACAAGTTTTTAGGTTGTTTTAGCTAATATAATTGGTTGTTATGTGCCTAATGGGCCCTTTGGTTTAAAAATACAAATCGTTTTATGGTTGTGCTTTCAATCTATCAACACATTTCAGTTTAACTCAGTCAATTGGTAGGTTTTCCAACTAATGTGAGTGTGTGAGGTTTGTTTGTGTGCAAAATGAGTTGCACTGACGCTATTGGTGTCAGTTCCCCGAGGTCGGTCATGACTGAAGATGTGTTATGCTGTATATCTACTTCTGTGTAATCATAACGTTTATTTCAACCACAAAACTGGACTGTATAATATAGGATTTTGTATAATTCATGTGTTCAAAATATGGGGAGAGACCAAAACATATGGGTGGATCAATAGCGTAGTCTGGATGCGCTCTGCTGTGAGTCGGCCTCCAGCTCGTCTGCCCCAGAGCAGTGAAGTGACAGGTCCAGGTGGCAGCGTATGGCTTCAGAGAGCAGCAACTGTTGGCCGAGATCCGGCAGATAAATAATAAAACAACTGTGAAGCGAGAGGAGCTCCTCACGAATTGCCTGCAACAGAGCTTTGGTACAGTTTGATTAAGTGTGGACTTTTCATTTAACAGATGTCAAGGTGAATAAATCAAGTTTAGAGAAATCCAATAAGGAGACAAGTGATGTAATTCATGCAGGGATTAATGTCATCTGTATTTTTGCAAAAAGGTAACAGTAATTCTGCAAGAGAAAATACCCGCTATTCATATATGGCTATATTTCAGTGAACAGAGCCCTTAGCTCTTTATAAATAAATCATTTTCACTATTCAGATAATTGTTCCTTGAAATCGGTCTTTATATCTCGGTTATGCTGTCCTGAATGAAGATAGATGTTATAGTGATGCTAATTAAACATGCCTTCTGTCCAATTGACAATCAGTTCTATAAAAACAATTTGTTTGTTTTTTTTCTTTCGAGATTTTGATTATTATTGAAGATTACTAAGGCATTTTTATACGTGCATCTGCATATACTGCATAAAGGTATCTGGCTGCATTTAAAAGGCAGTTAACTTTTTAAACATTTTTTTGTTTTCCTGGACTCAGTCCCAGTGGACAGGTGCTTCCTATGAGCCATTTGAAAGGTTTTACTCCGTCACTAATGTGTGTGGTATTGATAAAGAGGAGGAATTATTTCATATTAGGTTCTTTGCCAAATTTAATTTGTGTCAATTCATAACTGTTGCTTAATGCCTTGATACAGGTGTTTAACTTTGTTTTATCTTTTCCTGGACATATGATTTTATGTTATTGGACTGAAAACAGAACTGTTGAGGAACCGGCGCAAAAATCTTTAAACAATATTGCATGTTATAAATAATTTATAAAGGGATTTCTCAAGAAAACAATCAAAGCATTTAAGTAAGGGATACCTTCAGGGCGGAAGCAGACCCCTGCGCGTCGGGGTCTGCTTCGCCCTGTTGGTACTTATTTTCCGATAATGACCTGCGTACTATATGTTATCCCGCTTATTACACTGCTTTATACCAACAGAACACACAACATAAACTTCAGTCCACTTTTAGGAATGCCGAAAGGTTTATTTAACAACAGAAAATGAAATAGTTCCCAAAGGCTTTCCCGTGGCTATGCTAGCAACAGTTAGGCTATCAACTTCCAAACTAGAACTCCCTGGAACGTCATGAAAACTGAACATAGAATTGTGAACATCAGCGGTGAGTGACCCAAACATAAACTCAACCTAAATCCATAATTCGATCCTCTTCAAATGTGTCCTAAAATGTGCCGCTATCTACTTCCGGGTTTTTCGGGATCGCCTTTTCTCGCATTACATCAGTGTTTTTGTCATGAAAACGTAAACGGAAAATTCTGAAAACTTCCGTGCACTTGTATTAAGACTGGATATGTATAATGTACTCTCCGATTAACATTTAAGTGTGTTGATTGATTGGTATTTGCGTTTATTGAGCATGGCTATCTCCGAAGTGGCCGGAACTACTTGCGGTGTTATCCACGCATTTGAAATACAAGCAGAGAGTGCGTTGCCATGGGCAGCAATCATTATTGTTTTAAAAAAAAATAATGACCGGTAGAACGTTTTGAAATTACATTCAAATCAATGGAGCGTTCTACTGCTGCTGTGAGGAGCCGTGTAATAAGTTACTTTAAACAACAATCCCAATTCTATGAATTAGTCTTAATTGGAAAAGAAGAGCCAAAATGGCGCCTGTGAGGTCTGTACACAAGGTTTACAATTGCACGATCTCGTGGTCGCTCTACGTTAAACAACTTTAAAACCAGTTTGTGTGGAAGTGTATTCAAAGGGACCTATTTCACAAAGATTTTTATCTCCTGCGTATAACTCTTCACTTAAACTGGGTTCCCTAATGAGTTCTGCACTGTGAACCCTATATATAACACAGTGTTATCATAAAAGACACCTTTACCCACCTTGTTAACAGTGAATACTTCCATTAATACATGGGTATGTTTTATTTTATATCCATGCAACTTTATATTGTCATACTAACGTACTAAAATACTCTCATAATTTTTGGAGACAGACAACTGCTAACTGACTTTGACTCTAGATTACGAGGAGATCACGTGTGGGTCGGCCTCCATGGCTTGGCGCTGCAACTACGACACGTTCCATTTTAATGGGCCTTCAGGGCTACAACAGCTGGGGACATGCAGCTTACTTCAAGTGAACTCAGAGGGGATCGCCATCTACCACCACCACACGTTCCCAACTCTCAATGTTTGAACAATTAGCCTTTAAATTAACACTTAACACTATTTTGTAGTGGTTTGCCATGGTCAACATATATCTACCAATATTTGTCAACCATGGCATAAATTAGCTAAAAGTGATCATCTGTAACTCTAAATGAATTACACATTTTAAGAATTGTATTAAATTGACCTCCTGGCCTTAAATGTTGATATAAAATAATTCATTTTATAAATTCTAATATTACAGGTAGGTCCCGCCTTCCCTTCTCTTAGCTTTAGCTCAGAATCCACGATGCCGTCCACGTTAACCAATCAAGTGATGCCAAGAGCTGTCAATCATCGGCGCTGATGCTCGTAGCTGCGCGCATGGTCAGTTGTTTGTTTTCGCGGAGCCTCCGATTCAAGACTCCATTAGGCTCTGGAACAACATGAAAACTTAACAAAGAATTCTGAACATCCGCGCTGAGTTACCCATTTATATACTGAACCTATATCCATAATCATTTATATACTGAACCTTTATCCATAATCATTTATATACTGAACCTATATCCATAATCATTTATATACTGAACCTATATCCATAATCATTTATATACTGAACCTATATCCATAATCATTTATATACTGAACCTATATCCATAATCATGTATATACTGAACCTATATTCATAATCATTTATATATCAATCAAAGTTAATTTGTAGAGCGCCTTTCATACACAGGGCAACACAAAGCGCTTCACAGTCCACATTACAAATCATCACATAAAACAAACACCAGAATCACAATTAAAACATTAAAATCAAAAGATTAAAACCATTAAAACTTTCACTGAACCTATATCCATATTCATTTATATACTGAACCTATGTCCATAATCAGATCCTCTGCAGATGTGTCCTATAATGGGCCGCTGTCTTCCCGTAGCTCTCAGTCCTGCTCCTGCCCCTCAGCGCGGTGTCCTCTGCAGCTGTATTTTTCAGTGAATGCACGGCTTTTGACAGCTGCAGCAGTCCTACAACTAACAGGTTTGATATCTCTGCGATCGTACTTCAGCTGTCGGGAGTTCAGGTGGTTAGAAAAGTGTGTGGTGAGGGATTTTTACAGCCTTAAAACATAAAGCTGCAATACATTGTGGATTTCACTTACTGCAGGTTATATTGAGGGGGACCAGTGTATTGGTTGAACTCTACTATTTTCATTTCATTTTCATTGAGCTATCTATACATGATTGTGATGTAGGCAAACATCTCCTGAAACTAGTAGCAGAAATTCCAACTCCAGAAGGTTTGTGTTGATTAATTAAGTTGGCATTTACTGTATACTACTGCTGCTACTGCGGAGGCCACAACTGCTGTGTGACTTACACCCCACCAGATTCCCTACAGTGACGGAGGGAGGAGCTCTGTCCCAGCCCTCTCCTGGACACTTGGCACTGGCTAAAGCTGCCGGTCCTCCCTGATGCCGGAGCGTGCCAGGCGACAGCTGCAGGGGCTCCTCTCGTAACACCCCCACCCAAAACATCCCCATTACCCCAGCAGTACCCCCGAGTAACCCCTCAGCCACGGCAGGCCACGCGGGGCTATGGCCTCCTCAATACAACCATTGTTTTGGTCCGGGTCAGCTAAGCCCCCCATATCACAGAGATGAAGCCCGCTCGTCAGACTCGGGAGAGCAGGGTGGGAGGGGGGCATGGATGATAGACTGAACTTGAATAGCGATGCAGCTGTTTGCAGAGTGTAACCGGGCGGAGTCAAGCGCTCAATACTCTGCACACTTGTACGTACGTTATCAGAAGTATGTGATGTTACCACTTGTATTTGACCTATATATCATTTTGTTGCTTTTGTTGAATTTGTTTCTTTGCATTTGGCTAGATACTCTTATGACCTGATGGAGCACTGTTGTGTTCAACAAAGAATCATATTTAGAATGTTAAATATGTTAAATAGAGACTTAAGTGCTACCTGAGCTTGGAAGTGGTTAGCCATGCTTCTAGGTGAATTATAGATCTGTGTGGAATATTCTCTGCCTGTCGGAGTACAAACAAACGTTAGTACTTTTATTATTTTACAGATTACTTCAATAGTTTTACTTTTTGACCAGAGTTAACCAACGGAAACCTGTACAACATCATTTTACAAAATAAAAGACTAAGAGACAGACAGTCTTTGTAAAATTCCAGACCAAACAATGGGTAATTCATTGATTACTTTTCTTCAAGCTGTCTGCAAGGGTTGAAATTATGTTTTTAAATTAACGACTTTTAAAATGAAACGTATCAAAGCAGCTCAAAGAAGGACATACATTAATCACAGGTGTTTTCTGAGCTGTTGCTTGTGTAGGTTCCACAGTGTTTATGAATGAAGCTGAAATACCAGTTGCATAACTCCTGATCAATATTTACAGAAAGTGATAGGCTAATGTTTCTGTGAAGACCGCTCTTATGTAACTGGCCTGTTGCTACGGACACCACCTGACTTCTGGCCCTCAGGCCACAACCTGATGACTCTGGCCTTAGCTGCTGTGACATGTGATAGTTACATGTAAAAAAAGACTGCATGCCTTACAGTTTGCTTCTAGTTATTTTAGTAACTATATTATATATTTAATAGATATACCAATTTTCATAAAAAAATACAGTGTTTATAAATCAAAAACTTAATAAGTTAAAAAAATTAAAGACGATGACCATTCTCAAGGATGAATGTCTTCTGTCTCGCTGAAGTCACATGGTGACATATTTTGAGGCCTACAGTATTAGGTGCTTAACTGGAAGTTTAAAGTAAAACAGCAAGTGTGATTTTAGTGGTTCACAAGCAAAGGACCTAAGTATACTTCATGGATGTATTATATTGTGTGGATAGGGTATTGCAACATACACCCGTCTCCACATCATCAAGGGGCCACCTGCGGTACTGCAGCTTTAATTCACATTGGCTGTACAGAGATTTTCTGCAGTTTTCTGCAGTAGGTTCTGGTCAAACTTTTGTCCCAACCACTGTATTTCAAGATGGCGCATAGACATGGACAGTCCTCCAGCTCTCATGGACATTTATGAGCCAAATTCTAAGCCTATGACAACAATTCAAAAACATGGTGGAGGTAAATATTCTTAAAAAGGTTTTTGGTAAACATGTTATTTCATTTGGAGCAACTGTAAAAATATACTTTTGAAATCACATTTATTTACATTTGGTTCATACGGACAACAAAATATTCACAACTTCTGATTGATAAGTCTTTTTAAAAATAGATTTCTGAATTTGTTAATATAGACAAAGACAGATCTAAGACGAAACACAAGCACAATCAAAGTGTATTGTAAGTGTGAAGAAATAGAATAGACACAATAAACCGTTTATAGTGAGTTTCATACCTCTGAATCCCTAATCCCAGCCCTTTCCTCCCTTATCCTTCTGCGATACCTAACGAGGCATGTTTCTGTGTGTGTGACATGTAAACGTGTGTGATTTACTCCTCTTGGACACTGAGACCAGGCTGTTACCAGATCCTCCACGACACCCGGGCCCGCAACCCAGCGCTGTTCTCGCACTCTCGGTTCTGAGAAGTCTGACAGAAGAATGTGCTGAGAGAACGACTGAACCTCCTGACCCGGGCAGAATGAGCAAACAAGCGAGTGTCCTAAAACTTGATCTCGGTTACGTTACTTCGGGCACATTTGCGCTGCACTTATCGCCTCCGCATAGCTCAGTGTGAATGAAGCCGCGGCCAATAAGATGGTGTTTCAAAGTCGGCTCGGATTAGTGCGCTTTCAGGCATTGCTCAAGTGGAAAACATGGGCTCCATTTCGGTTAAATACTTAAAAGTTAAAGTTAATACGTGTTTAGAAATGTTAACATAGCAAATTAGTTGTTTTTTGCCCTATATCAAGGAAACAGGATCCATTCTTTGGACTACATGTGTCAAAACAAGGACTATTTTTAGTGGCCTCTTAAAGGTATATAGGAGGATTTTCTACTTCTAGGTGGATCATCAAGACTATTGGTCCTCCTAACTGTCAATCATTCTGCTGATACATGCTCCTCAAATAGTTTTGTTCAAAAAGTGGAGAGGGCGGTACTTTCCTAAAAATTGGGAAAACCCTCCAATTCCTTTCAAATTTAATGATGAAGTTGGTAATATGTGAATAATAGAGGTGCACCGATCATAATCGGCCGATCACGGCTTAATTTGCGTGATCGGTGACCGGTGAAATGTGCCGATCAAAAAGACCGATCATATGACATGTGGGTTCGTGCGCACAAGTTACTTTCTCTCGTCAAAATTGCGTAAACAAGCAACTCATGCAGCTATCAGTTACGGAGATTCTACAGCGGCAACAACCATACATTAATGACGGTAAGAAACAAAATGAAATATGCACAAAAGTTATGGAATTTATTTCCCTCTGCCACCAGCCTTTGTCTATCGTGGAAAGCGCTGGGTTCAAACGACTCATGTCCACTGCTTCAATATGCCATCGTGGAAATATTTGACTGATGTCTGCCTGCCGCAGCTTTACCAAACTGTACATTCTCACATTGACACTCCAAGCCCAGCCAGAGCATGGATCTATTATAATAACGAGCCAGAGTCACACAGTGTAGACACACGAACATACTCAGCAGCGAGGCGAACCACAGGCAAAAACATCCCGGGACTTTGCATGTTCACAGAAATGTTGGAGGAAGATGAGTGTAGTGGTAGTACAGACAGTCCTACAGTGTCGCTTACCTAGCGAAACTAGTTACGCGTCGGAGCGGACAGCCGCTTGTTTATTGGAAGGAAAATAAAAGCCTGCTTTTGCCAACCCTGCATTGGCCAAAGCAGCGCTTGCTTTCCTCTGCGCTCCATGTACAAGTGTAGACAGTCAGCGGCCGTTTACGCAGCGGGACTAGGATGATAAACGTAATAAACCTCTGCAAATGCTGAGATGCTAATATTCCTGAAAAAAACATTCCCTTAACGATTTCTTCTTAATCAGTTTAGAAATTCAGAATATCTATTCATAGCATTTAAAAAAAAAATGTATTTCAATGCTCTGTAACGTATACTTGTGGTTCCTAACCTTTTTGTCTTGAGTACCCTAGGGCATTTTATTTATACTACCTAGTACCTTGATGGTTTTGAAAGATTAGTTAGGAAATGAATAATTCATTTATCACAAAAAATATCAGTATTTGATCGGATCGGCAATGATCGGTATCGGCAGGTCAACATTTTAATGATCGGTGATTGGTGATCGGCCAAAAAATTCCATTCCATTATAGCATGTTTTACCTCAAGCAAATGTCCTCAATAAAACATCAATGATATTTAATGTATTAAAGATTTCACATCTTATTATTAGATTAATTTGTTTTTGTAATCCTTAAGGTACATCTGTCCACGTTTAAACTAATAGAACTTTTTTTGTTCCGAAAATTCAACCGGGAAATAATATCCAAACACATGTTAGATAAGACTAATTATTTTGGTTGAATATAATGTGAACATGTTGTAAAAAATACATGTTAAAATGTTAGAATTACTCGACTAAAATGAGTTTGTAACCCCTTATAACCTTCACTATCCTGCTCAGTCAGAGGAGGTAGTTTTCAGTCAGAGCAGCAAAATGATTCAAAGGAAATAATAATGAGAGAAAAATGAAAATGTCCTTTGATTAAAATCAGACAGAAGTGAGGGAGAGAAGCATGAGGAACCACAATTATGTCTGTTCTTGAACTCAGCACAAGGGGGCACTATTGTTTTGCAGATGACAAAGCTCCAAACTGGGCACCTCTGAATATAAATGTATTTTTAAAAGTCTTCGATAAGTGTACAAATTATGAAATACAAAAACCTTGTAATACATGAATAGAAACAATTCCATGGTGACATGACTGTTGGAGTTGAATGCAACCCCTCAACCCCAAACCACATTATTCATACAGCACTTTTTTTTTTATTGCTGCACAGAGACAATTGTAACTCATTTAAATATACACATATGGCTATCTTTGTATTCTATAGTGTCATTTATATTTATATGAAAATTAAATTGAAATAAATAAAACATTAAGATACAAAACATAAACACAATAAAATGATTGTAGTATAGATGGTCAAACACCACTAATTTCAACAACAAAAATCAGATTATGGCAATATTTCAACCCTACAGCAAGGACAAAAAAAGCTAAAGCAAAGGTGTGTAAAATGTGTGTATTATGCGTTAGCCTTTATCAGTGAAGTAAATCCGACAAAATATAGAGCATATTTTGGGGGGTGTGCATTTCCCTAAACCCTCTTGTGGACTCACCACCTGCAGGAGGATCAGTGAGGGGCTGGTGCTCTGTGAATGGGTGTAGCTCTCACTGCCAACCCTGCCACCCCCGACCCAGAAACAGATTAAGGGGAAGAAGATGGAGGAAGAAGAAGATGGATGGCATCTCCTTAAACCTGACTTGTACCTGCCTTCCACAGGTTGGTGTAAAGCTTTCTGGAGATGTTTCTGTTTTTTAACTAATTCTATGATGTTGAGAACAATGAAGCACTAATAAGTATGTGCTCATCGATGAAGGTTAGCTTAAACTCAGGCTCCCTCTGACTTACATTTAAAAGTAAACTCCTCTAGCTCAGGAACTGTTTTTATCACATTCACCATTTTGATCTTAAAAAAATCTGGGGTTTAGCGTTCTCTTTGATCCTGGGGTTTATTTTTTTTATGTCTATGCAAACCCAGATATGAGCCATATAAGGCTTGACCAATCAGATGACTTTATTCGCTGGGGAAACTCCAGCTTGCCTTAGCAACCGTCTTAGTGAAACTTCTGCCCCTGTTTTGGCGTGATGCTAAGGCCGTCGTAACAGGAACAAGGAAATTAGCTTCAGCTAGCTTATGTTCAAATGGGCTTCTTCCGCATTCAGCAAACACTATGGTGACATCAGCACTTGTTACTCCATGCCATATATACGGCCTCGGCCAGGAAACGAGGCCTGGGTGTTTTTTCCGATGGCACTAGCTTTGCGGCGTAACAGGGGCAGACATATTGCTAAAACAGTTGCTAAGACAAGTTGGAGTTTCAACTCAGATTCAGCAGTCCAGAAATTTACGATACTGTGTTAACTACTATAAGCAATAGCTGCAACTTCAGTTTGCATGTTCTCCCCATGTCTACATATAGTCCAGTGAAAATAGAATTATGAACCACTCCTATTGTTAATGACCTTTCCCAGAAAGAGCATTATGTGTTCATTAAGCCTCTGATTCGTTTAATTTCCCTGTTTTCCAGAGTCACGCCTACATACAAGAGCCACCTCTGTGTGGCTGTCAGGACAACGATGCGGCAGGACGCTGTAAGCTGGTGGTGAGCAGTAATTAGTGGACAGCTTTTGGCACTAATTGGGTTTTATCAGATTACATTTGAAGCGTGGGTCGCCCTGATTCACTCCGGGGACGGGTTCTGTCTCTGTTTACTTTTGACACAAATGAATTGTCGCGTTGCCCTACATTATTTCAAACATTATTTCCGTGATGTTGCCTTCCTTTGCACGTCAGGTTCAGATGAGTTCAACACGGGACAGATGCACCGTTTGCCCGTAATAATTCGAGTGGTGCGTGTTTCTGTGTTTGCCAGTCTATTTATAGTCCACTGCCAAGCACACCAGATTGGTACATTTTTCATTTTCAGCGGTGGGTGAAAAAAATCAACTGGTACATGTAAAATAATATATGTTGTAATTGAATGCATTATAATCTGAGGAGCAAAGGGACTGGCCTCCTGCTGGGACTCTGAGGAGCACAGGGACTGGCCTCCTGCTGGGACTCTGAGGAGCACAGGGACTGGCCTCCTGCTGGGACTCTGAGGAGCACAGGGACTGGAGTCACGAGTAAACATGTGGAGGCAGCGTTTCACATTTATGCTGCCAAAATATTAAACAATCTTCCTGAAAATGTGAGACAGGCTTCTACTCTGACATTGTTGAAATCCAGATCTAATCCAATCCAATGTACTATAATTTTTTAATGCCTTATTATTTATTTTCTTATTTTTGTGAAGGATCTTGAGTATGAACTAAACACACCAACACATACAGGCGTAGGTTTCCTCCAGGTGCTTCGGTTTCCATCCATCCATCCATCCATTTTCTACCCTTTAATCCATTTCTGGGTCAGGGGGGTGGCAGTCAGAGATGCCACCCAAGTCTCATAGCACCAGCCCCTCACTGACCCTCTGCAGGTGGTGAGTCCACAGGAGGACAGCTGCTCTCTGAGTGTGAGCATAGCCTTGATCTTTCAGTGGGGGCTTTGGGGAAAGTGGGGTTACGTGTCTTGCCCAAGGACACAACGACAGCAGTCATCAGTGCGAGTCGATGGAGAAGGTGCAGAGGTGGGAATTGAACCCACAACCTTCTGGCCTTAAGGCCAATGCTCTACCAACTGAGCTACTGTCGCCCCGCTTCGGTTTTCCGAATGTTCGCCGTCTCACTTCTCAAAATATTGGTCTTCCAAAACCTTGTTAAGTATTAAGTAGACCTGTATTAATAAAGATAACTTCATATTCACTGAAGAAGGGAATACTTTTTCTGCTAAATGTTTCTTCCAGGTGCTCCGGTTGCCTCTACCGCTATAAACATGTGTAGTTCAGGTTGAATGAATGTGTACTTATGAGTGAAAACAGAAATATTCTATATTTAGGTGTTATTTAAACAGAATGGGAATTTATCGCTTGTTTGGAAACATTTCTGACTAGTCAAAAGGAATTTCATGAAGTTAATTCACCTTTTTTATCACAGTGGCATAGAAAGCCCCAGTATATTGCTTTTTAGTCTTATAAAGTTATATATATCTGGGAATGAAAAAAGTTGAGTCAGCTTGTCTCTCCGTAAACATGACTCGTACTTAACCGCATTTGCTTAAGAATTCCTTTTGCTATTATCTCACATAATAATAAATATAAGTAATTTAATCGAAAATGTTCCCAGTATGAATTTAATGTTGCATTTTCATGAAATCATGCAGGTGATTTTCCCCCTCCAGAAAGTTACAACTGTTGCTGTAAAGCTGAGCTATCTAACTTTCAAACCACAACTTTGAGTATGTTATAAAATACTACAGCTAGTTCCGACCTATCAAATCAGTTTGATTCACTATTTTTCACATGCATTTATTTTAGGCCTGGTCAGGTCACCAAAGAACAGACTCCTTCTGTTGGGGCAAATAACACACAATAAATGTAATCATAAACATCTTGAAAATTAAACAATGATACTAAAAACATCTACACCCAGTAATGTAAAGTAGATAATAACAAATTGTTTGAAAACTACTGGAATTTTGATTATTTTAAACAACTAAAAACTACAACTTTTTTTTTTTTTAGCTATGCGATGAGCCCTGATGATTAGAGTGTTGTGTTTTTGTGTTGGCATCATATCGCTCCCCCGTGCTGCACCGCGCTGAGCCTAACCCTCTTCCGGCAGCTTCCATTGGTGGGAGTGGAGCCTGTCTCCAGAAATCGCTCTAATCCTCTTAGATAAAACACAGCCATGGCCCAATCCCCTGCTCCGACCCAGCCTCTCCCAGTGCGCGCGCCCGTCTCTCTCCGTCCGCCCGGGGAAGAGCGCTTTTTAATCCAAGCAGATTACGTTGCAAATTGGGCGACGGTGGGAGCTGCAAAACCTACAGCCATCAGATAAAATATTTGCTGAAATGTACCTGCATTTTTCCTGGGGGTAACTACCAGAGCAAGAAGCATGTCTGATTTATCCTTTGGGAAAACTTGGAAGACGCAGAGGAGAGACATCACAACATCTTTACACATTCAGCGTTTTCAGTATCGTGCTGCTTTTTAGGAAGTAATCAAAATGTCATTCACTGGACGCTCTGGCAACTATGGATATGTTGATGGGAATTGGGATCTAGGCAACATGAGAAAGCCTTTCCCCTTCACAAACTGTCTATGAAGTTCAGAAACGCTCGGATGAGAGGCAGAATGGACTCCAGGACGTCAGCAGTCGGGAGGTTCCTGGGACTTTTAGGATTTTTAAGTTTGTGGTTAGCTGCTCAAGCACAGATGAAGATTCCACCTGAGACGTGAGTGTTTTGCGGTCGAATATCAGCAGAACAATCTCGTGTTTTTTACTAAATACTTAATGCTCAAGCAAAAACTCTTCCAATGTCTTTTGAAATCTGTAATAACACGTTGTACAAACTTATGCTGGAAAAATATCACCTGCATTTTGTAATTTTAGTGATTACAAAACAGGATATTAAAGTTTCATATAAATAAAGATTACTTACTTACTTACATACTTACCGATATAACAAACAGAACTATTTCAACCTGGATTTGAGCAGACTTCTAACGAGTTGTAAAAAGTACGTGACTACTCTTAAATTTTTATCCTTCTGGTTGTCATCAATTATTACTTAACATAAATAAATTGTAAGGGATCACTTCTATATCTGCGATTCCATGGGTCCTTTGTAGGTGGCAATAGAACAGTACAATATATTTTTACAAATAGATCAAGAAAAAAGATCTTTAGAACTGACACAAGTAAACACATTACCATTTTATTTCCGCGTTCACCTGCTCGACCTAGTTTTCTTGTGCTTGTTGGCTTAATTGGGACGAACTCGAAAACACGTTACAGTTGCGTGTTCACAGCTGCTTCACTAACATCCCCCAGAGTGTGGTGGGTACGCACATTCCCCTGTGGGACAGTAGCATCAGTCCGCTTTAGTGTAAGTGGACATGCCTTTTGTTCTCTGTGGTAATCGCACTGCTGTCTCTGTGACTGACCATGGCACTCTGATCCTCTGACCTGGTCCCTTTCTATGATCCACTCGCGCATGAGCACCACTGAACGGTTCACTCCTGGGACAGTGTCATCTTAAACCAGACAGAGGGAACCTAAATCCTTGGTTTCCTCTGTTTGTATGTTCTCCCTGTGTCTGTCTGTGTTTCGTCTGGTGCTCCAGGTTTCCTTGCCACTAAAAACATATATGATTGGTTTAAATGTAATGAGGGATGGTGATGTGGCATATATATAGATGACTGACTTACTTAATATTATCGTAGACTGTATATAGATGGACAATGCTACCCCACTAGCCCGCAAAGTGTTGCTCCAACTCTCTCTGGCTCCTATCGACTTACATTGAAAAGTCAACTCCTCTCGCTCAGTATCCGTTTGTGTCCCACTCACCATTTTGGGATTAAAACATCTGTTGTTTAATGCTCTCTGTGATCCTGGTGTTTAATTTTGATATTGTCCTTGTTATCAGCCATTCAATGATTGACCAATCAGATGCCTTCATTCGTGGGGGAAACTCCAGCTTGCCTTAGCAACCGCTTAAGCAACAAGTCTTCCCCCGTTACGGCGCAAAGCTCACGCCATCGGAACAAATGCCCATATAAGGAAATGGAAACCAGCTAGCTTATGGTCACATCGGTTTCTATGGACAAATCAACCTAATAAATGGTCTAAGGTTATCAATCCAAGGGGCACGGATGAGATTGTTCTGCAGCACGTCTTGAGGTTTATTCATCTGACTGTAATTTGTGGATTACTGTGGGACTAAAGGCATTCATTCATTCATTCATTCAAGCTGAATATTGACAGTGCTAAACAACTGGATTTCGCGTTGAATAAAGTGTTGTAGCCTGGCGCTATCCCTGATTAGTTAGGACTTTCTTTGCGGAGTTGTCTGCTTCTGCAATTTTAAACACAGTTGGACACATTTTATCTTCGAGATCACAAGCACTTTGAACAGACGGAGAAATCCTTCTGTAATGAGGACATAGGGGATTGAAAACTTGAAATATGATTGTTTATTATTGTGGTTGGTAGTTTAAATCTTTGGGATGTACGAATGTGGCATCTATTTGGGCAGAATCCAGGCCAAGTCACATCCCCAGCGTTGGCGCTTATATGAAACATTGCTTGACCCAATTAGTTGAACATCAAAGAGTGAGACTTTGGGAATCTCTGCAGTATTTAGTGTGGATTTTCCATCTCTGCTTTTGGACACAAGTGGAAGAAAAAAAAATCTGCATTGTTTTCCGCCCAGCAACACGTTATATGGTGTGAAAGTGCATGTCTGGGGATAGTTTAGTCAATTTGAAATACAAGCTAGAGAACAATACTACAAAGACTATAATAATATCATTCTTACTCTTGGAATTGTTGGAGATAAAAAAAAAAAAATCAAGTATGTAATCAATGAGTCAAGTAATCTACCTTATTTGACTTATTTTAGAGTATTTTATACAAACAATCCTGACTTGAATGTCAAACTCCTTTTTTGTCAAATCGGTTTTCAGAGCATAGACATAGACGCGCATATTAGGGATGGACTGACCGAGTTCTGACGTCCCCACAGTGTCAGCATTTGTTCCGAGGGCGTTAGCTTTGTGCCGTATCAGAGGCAGACGTGTTGCTAAGATCGTCGTTAAGAGTTTCCTCTATGAAGGAACGCATCTAATTGGCCAGTCCTTATTTGGCTCATATCTAGATTTACAAAGACCATATAACAATAAACGCCGGGATCACAGAGAGTGTTCAACCACAGATTTTTTTAAGCCCAAAATGGTGAGTGTGACACAAACAGTTACTGAGCTAGAGGAGTTCATTTTTCAGTTTAAGCCAACAGGAGCCAGAGCGAGTTGGACCAAAACTTCGTACTTGAGCACTTTCCTGTATGGCTCCAATGAGCTGGGGGTTAGCATTGTCCATCTATATACAGTCTATGCTTCAGAGCAGTGTTGGCACCAGACAGGCATCTTTTCTGTGTAAAACAAGTGCTGGAAGTATTCTGTGTTGATCTGAAACGGTTTCTCATATTTATAAATAGAAAAAAACTTTGTATTCACAGAAATTGCTTTTGGTCTTTTTTAATTTCAAAAGGTAATGTTGGGGATTAGCTATCTCTTTTTCTGTGGATTCATACTTTCTAGTTTCAGTTCTATGGAACGTTTGGACCCAGGAAAGTTCTGGGTGACTGGTGCTGTGTAATTATAAACTTTTCTAATGGGACCCGTATACGGTGTCTACAGCCTAAAAAGCTTTCCGTTGTAACATGCCCCCACTCATTAGAGGAGGCTGTGTGAGTCTGGAACATTTCCAACCGTCTCCTTTTTGAGTCTAAGCGATGGTCTTGCCTCCATTCACATTTCTGAAATATCATGAACAGCCAAAGTTTCTCCTTTATCTTCGTTACCCTCTGAAAGCAGTTGATAACATGTGCAAAGAGCATTCCGGTTCCCACACCTGGCAGAGCTGAGGCCATAATAAAATGCACCGGTCTGTTTTGTGTCCTTTAAGTGAGTGTTTCTGTCCACACACCTGCCACACACCGCTCTGACCCAGATGAGGAGAAGCTTATCTAAATCTGTCATCACAGTCACATTTTACTGCCTTTTCTCGGCTAACTCGCCCGTGCGTCTCTATGGAAACAGAAAACAACATTTGAATCAGCCACAAAACAACAGCTCTCAAACTCTTCTTCCTCTGAATATTTTAGTAAAAAAAAGATGAAAGAAGGTGATGCTCTTGGTTTATCAGAACAACCATTGCAAATATGATTTGAGTTTTAATTATGATAATAGGATTAAGTTCATCAAACTTTGAATCATGTTTTAATTGTGATTGTTTTGTAATATTACAAAATATAAAAATATAAAAAAATCTCGGATTAAACAGACAATCCATCCATGTGCTGATTTAGATGGATAATTTGGTTTCTAATTGTTTTATTTTCTCATTTTCTAAACATGTTGTGAATTTACATGGATAAATTTACTTGATAACGTAGTGAGTCAATGAACTGTAGTGAGTCAGCAGCGGCACCGCGCTGACACTGTGATAGATAGAATGCAAAATAGAATGATCCATGATGATGAAGTTGTGATTATGATTAGAATAATATGAATATGGAAGTTATTGAAGTATAATATTAACATTTAGAAACAATGTCGTCAACTTAACAACAAGGAATCTGATGCTCTTGGAATGTAAGGATTATTATGTTGATTGTGCAGTGTTTCAAAACTGCTAATCACGGTCCCATGTGGAATGTTTATATCAATGCATGCGCTCAATACAGTGCATTGGAAAATATCTCCAAAAGGTGAAAAGAGTTTAATCCAATCTGCAATACTGCATAACCCTGTCATCTGTTATTTCAAATCCTGTTGGTTTAGCCCCATTGTAAATAGGACTGGATTTCAGTATGGGGAATGAGAATATGGACATTAATCCTGAGCCAATCTGGACACATATTGTGTTTATAACTATTGTATGATAGCCCTGTCCCTTCGTATTCACTCATGTGTTTGTGATTCCAGCGTGCAGCAGTGGGCTAACGTGTTCTCTGCTGAACTTCGAGAGGTCTCCATCAGGTACTCCGGCTCCAAGCTTCTTCAAAAGGTAACTATGATCAAAATGTAGTTGTGTTAAAACAATATTTGTACAGTATTGTAGGGTCACTACTAATACTTCAAGAGTAGTAGATGCTTCAGTGATAACATTTGAAACGTCCCTTTAAAAACATACATTATTTGTTTAAAATGTTGCATTGGATAATATGTAATAGATTATAACTACATTGGTCCTGATCAGAGAATCAAACAGTTCTAACAAATGTCGTAATAACAAACAAGGACAGACAGACTATAGATCCAGGACTCAGGCTGTGAGGTCTGACTCCTACTGCCTCTGCTCTGGGTTTAGGCTCTGCTCTGCTCAATTGTAAAACCCAGGGGAGACAGCAGGGCATGCGAGGACACCATGAGCAGTGTTGGGCATTTTACTTAAACAACATAATACATGATGTATTACCTACTGTTGTTTGTAATGTGTTACACTACAATTTTACTGACTCTGAATTGTATTAATAATTGTTTTTGTGTAATGTCTTTCTTATCTGGACTTCGTGTCTTTAATAAAGTTTAATAATATTAATTTCAAAGTCCTTTCTTCTACTAATATACACTACTTTGAAATACTTTGAATACTACTGCATTACTTATAAATGTGTAAATAGCATAATATATACACATGTCATGCTATTCCATGAGTTTGATAGAGCTGTTTGTTTTACACCATGAGTTTGTCAAATAGAAGTCCCCACTAAATAGCAAAACTATATTTTTGAGTATGCTGACTTTGAAACTTCTTATACTTATTGTAAAAAAATACATTTTCATAACATACCACTACTCTTGTTAAAGACATGAAATTGGAAATCAACTGACAAAACTGGGATTTAGACCAAATCGGGACCAAACCAGGACTGAAACAACCCTGAACAAAGCCTAAGAACTACTAAGATTCTTTTCAAATGTTCAATCTCTGAACTCTGATAAAATGTGGTAAGAGTGCAGCACATTTAGCACGCACGGATAACAGCAAAGCCCAGATTGAGAAGCATTTTCTCTTTAATGCAGGATTTATGAACTGCTCTTATTTTTAGACGTTCATCCATTTATCTGTCAGATTTAGATTGATGTGATTTATGCATTTCACATACAACAAACATTGTAGTGGAAATTGTGGATCTATGAGATTGTAGCCATTGTTGTAAGCTCTTTTGTTTTAAAGGGCACTGCCACTATAAAAAAGCTTCTTAGATCACGGAGCTATAAGTGAATTAAGACTTTGTTAAGGAGAGGTTTAAATGAGCAGACGCCCCAATCTTCTTGATCCAGAGTAACCTAATTATCTCTGATAGACGCTTCAAACTCCCTGATGCCGCCCAAACCCAACAAGAGTCAAACTTTGATTATTTTCGTCTTGTCTTATTTTTCAATCATTTAGAAATTAAAAGACGTGGAGCCCATAATAAAGATTCTGGAGATCGACGGCCGAGATCTGGTGAAGGATTATTCGGATGAAATCGAGCGGATGTTGGGAAGCAAAATGAAGTCTGTGAAGGTAATCTTAAGCCTAGCGTACATCGACAGAGAAACTGTGGACAACTAGTTGCAAGGCGGCTTTTGGCAACTGAGAGGAGATGGTGGGAGATGATCAGTTGCCAAAATCGGTCGATGTGCGCGCTCTTACAACTGGAGATGATCAGTCGGTCTCCAGTTTCAGTCAGTTGCCCGTGTTCGGGCAACTAGTTGTCCTCAGTTTGGGAGATATGACCCGATGTGCGCGCTCCATGCGCCGCTCCGACAACGTGTGTGTATTGCGTGTATTGCGCGCCCGCAACAGTTTATGTCAGAAAACACACTGTGGTTGAGGCCAGTTGCTGTCGATGTACGCGCTGTTATTCCCGAGACTGGTCTGCTACTGGGAGTTGCCCGTTTTCGTCAGATTGTCGATGTGTGCGGGGCAGCAACTCATATGCGACGGATATAATCAGTTGCCAGTCCGATGTACGCTAGGCTTAACGGATACTGTATTGTAGATAGTGACCCATACTTACTGGACTGTATCGTGCACCTGTTCATAAGCTGCACCAGCAACATTTTAGAAAGTAAATTATGTCCTCATATCGACGGCACTTGAATATAAGCCGCAGCTTATATTTTCAATGTTGCAGATTGATGATAGTTTTAACTGGTCACAACATTAAATGACAAGATGTTTAAAACCTTTCACCAGCTTACCAGTCTACTTTATATAATATAGTCCATCAACTCTGCTCTGATAACAACCCAACTCTACCACAATAAAACATATACATATTGGTTGCATCACGCAGATCAAACTACACATGCTCAGGGGCTGCTGATGAGGCTAGGCGATGCACAGGATCATAAACTGTGAGCGGATCTGGCACTAGTAAACGCATAGACTGTAATGAATATCTGTCAACAGATCATCTACTCCACTCAACTCACGTGTAAGAATGCCTTCATGTGTTCTATTATAAATTCATCATCCGGCTGCTGCGATGCCTGTCATACTATGACTGATTTGAGCCTAACAGATGCTTGTGCGATATAGCAGTGCACAAGCGTTATGAAGGGTGTGGCGGGGGCGGCTGGGGGTGAGGGGAAGGAGGGAGGAGGGGGGGGGGGTGGGGGGGGGGGGGGGGTATGTATGTGAGTAGTGTGGTGGGGGGGGGGGGGTGGGGGTAGGGGGGGGGGGGGGGGGGGGGGGGGGGGGGGGACACACAACACAACACACACAGCAGGGGGGGGGAGGGGGGGGGGGGGGGGGGGGGTGGAACAATTAGCACGATCATCAGGCACGAGATATTCGAAACGAGTTCAGACACGCACAAGTATTAGACAGAAATAGATACACAAGAGTAAATATTTGAGTACAATAACTATGTAGTGACTATAACTTATAGCCAACAAAGGTCAGAGCAGTGGATAGTACTAAATTGTTGTAGTCAAAGGGGGGGGAGAGGATTATGTGGGAAAAGAACTAACGACACGTTGCGTTAGTGAGGTACACACGCATAATGTGTAATTTAGCGTGATCAGTGATGATAATACCAAGGCGAAGATTCAGAGGATAGTCTGTGCATGTCACTAGTCAGTGATACGTGTCAGCGAGTTGTCGTCACGATTAGGTGATCAATGAATTGCACCTACCGTTATGGATTATTGGGATGGGGGGGGGGGGGGGGGGGGTGGGTGAAAATATGGAAGGTTTGGGGATAGAGGGTGGGGAAAAAGAAAATAAATTGGGGTGTTGTTGGTTTTTGTATGTATGTTTGGGGTGGTGGGGGTGTGGGGGGTGGGGTGGTTTGGGGGGTGGTGTGGTTGTGAGAGGGGGTGGGGGGGGGGTGGGGTGGGTAGTGGTGAGGGGATTCTTTAATGTATGGTGTTGGAAGGATAAGGTGTATGTAGGAGTAGGGGGATGGGTGTGCAAGTTAGGGTGGTAGGATATGTGGGATATGTGTAGGTGAGAAGATGGAGTTGTGATGATGGGGGGAGGTCAGTGTGGAAGGGGACTAGAGGTGTATCAGTGTAATATTTATGTGTGTGTGATGACATGGGACACAACAATGTATCTGTAATTATATGATGGTTTGAGAGGGGTGTGATAGTATTGAGTATATGATGAGGTCTAAGGTACAATATGTTGATGGATGTGATAGATATGTGTGAGTATTGTTAGAGAATATTGGACAGGAATGAATATAGATGGAGAGACAGTTTGCTCAGAGGGAAGATTGAGATGGAAATGGAGAGATATATAAGGATGGTGAGAGGTGTTATTGATAAGATATGATAGGGCGTAATGGAGGTGTATGGGTGTGTGTTTGAGTAGATTCATTGGATATAGATAGATGAGGTATGATCAAAGGCGAGTTATGGGAAGGGTGATGGTTATGATGGGTGTGATGGTACGATTACGATGCGTGCTGTCACGTGCTACAACAGGTGGAGGTTGGCAAGGTGAGTGTAGGGTGGGGATGTGGAGGATGTGGTGGAGGTAGAGTGATAATGGGTAAGGGTTGGGATGAAGAGGGTGATGGGGGGGATGACTTATCTATGTGTTACAGTGGTGTGGGTGAATGGGTGATGTTGTGTTGTGTTGTGGATAAAGAGGTGGGGGTACAGATGACATGATGTGGTGATAATTGTACATTTAGAGAGCTGGAAGTGTGGATCTATTGGAGAGATAGAACGGTGGTGAGTGGGGGGTAGAGCGGGATGTAGAGCAGGACAGGTATTTGGGATGGAGTTTATGTACTGATGACTGTGATGAAATGGAGTCTGGGGGGAATTTTTGAGGTATTTAGGTGTGCGATGGAGGTGGAGAGGGGGTTGGGGGTGTGAGGGGGGGTTGTATAATGATATGGGGGGGGGGGAATATTGTGAATGAAGGGGAAAAGGAGGGGTAGGGGTGGATGGGTATAGTTATAGGTTTGGTTTTGTTTGTTTTGAAAGGAGTATGGATGTGGGGGAGGGGGGGTATTTTTAGGGTTTGTGGAATTGGGGGGGTTTGAATAGATGGGAATTAGGATTAAGGTTTGATGGGGGGAGTGTTAGGAGGTGGATGTGTTGGAATGTTTATGTGAGGTGGGTGAGTGGGGATAGGTTGGGGTTGGGGGGATTTTGGGTTGTGTGGGGGAGGGGTAGAAGAAAGGGTATTGTATGTGTGTGGTTGTATAATAGGGTTTATTGGGGGGGGGGAGTATTGGTGGGAGGTTTGATAAGGTTTTAATTGGTGTGGTGGGGTGAGGTGGGGGGGGGAATGGGATGGGGGTAGTGGTATTGGAATGGGGTTTGGAGAAGGTATGGTGGTTTTAGTGGTGTTAGTGGTGGTGTGGGGGGAAGAGGTGGTGTGGTGATGGGTTATGGGTAATGGGTTATAAAGATGTAGTATGAATGGGGAAAATAATTAGGAGATTATTTGGGTATGGGGAAAAGTGTATAGGAGAGGGTGGATAATATTGGGAATGATATGGATAGGGTTAGGGGTGGGTGTGGTTTGGATAATGGTTTAGTTGGTTTGGGAGATGGAATGTAGGGTGGGTATGGGAAAAAAAAAGTATATATGTATTGGGGAAGGAGGGAAGGGATGGGATATTTGAGTGAAAGGGGGGGGATGGGAATATGTAGGGGTGGGTTAGGGGAGGTGAGTATGGGTAGGGTTATGTGTAGGGTGAGTGTGGGTTATTTGGGGATGAAAGTGAGTTGGGATTAAAAGTTGGTTGGTTGGAAATGTGGGGAGAGGGTGGTTGGGGTATGGAGAGAGGAGGGGTGGGGTAGTAAGGATTTGTTTTTTAAGAGTTGGGATGGTGTTTTGGGGGGTGTGGAGGAGAAGTAGGTGGGGGTGTTAGGGTTGAGAGTGATGAAGAAGTGGGGGAAATAGTATATTATAAGTTGGAATGTAAGTTAGGGGTGGTGGGTTTGTGAAGGGTATGGGGAGGGGGAATATGGGGGGATTGTTTGGGGGAATTGTTTGGGGGGATTGTATTGAGTGGGGAGTGGGAGGGTGGAGTTGGATATTGTGGGTGGGGGGGGGGAGAAAGGATGTAAAGGATAAGTTTGGAATGTTGTAGAGGTGGAGAGGTAGTAGAGGATGATGGTTAGGGAATGTTTTGTAAGTATAGGTAAGGGATGTGAGGGGATGGAGAAGAAGGAGGAGGATGGTGAGTAAATGATGTGGAGATATGGGGTGGTATGGGTGTTGTTTGTATATTAGGGTTATTTAGGGATGTTGGTTATGTATTAGGTTAAGTGGTGTTGTTGAAGGGGGGTGGAGTAGTTAGGAGGTATTGAGGTGTGGTATTTATTATTTTAAGGGATTTTGGATTGTGTGGGTGTTAGAAAGTAGGTGGGTGGGAGAGTTGAAATTAAATATGGAGGGTTATGTGGGAGAGTGGGGGGGGGAGGTGTTTATTATATTGAGGAGGGGGAGAAGGGGGGGTGAGAGAGAGGTAGTATATGTGAGTATGAGGATAGGGGGGTGGAGGGAATGTGGTGGAAGAGTGTTTTTTGGTTTGGGGATATGGATTTTTTGGGTATAATGTGGAATGGGTGGTTGAGGCATGAGAATGTGTTATGTTTAGGGTGTGTTAATTTTATTGTATTAAGGATTGGGATTGGGGGGGAGGTTTTAAATAGAACATAGAATATGTGTGATGAGGGTGTAGTTTGATGGGGTTGTTAATTGATGGTGGTGTTTGTATTTGGTGTGGAGTTTTGATTGGTGTTGGTGAATAGGTTTAATGGTGGGATGTTGGCTGGATAGGGGGGTTGAATAATTTTTGGTGGTAATTATAAATAGAAGAGGTGGGTGGAGGCAATCGAATGTGGCAAAGTGGATAGGGTGTCATTGATGTTGGAGATAGTGTGATTTTCGGTTGCGTAAAGGTTTTTGGAAATAGGTGAAACATTTCTGCTTTTGATAGTTATGTGTTTGGAATTGTAGGCATTGTTATAGAAATCTTTTCAGTGAAGCAATCTGAATTAACACCAAATAGTTATAAGTGTAAGTTATTAACTAATTCTCAACTCTGGATTCAGATACAGCTCATATGGTCTGTTGGCAGCAGGTCAGCTGATGGATATGAGACGTGCTGCAACATGTCTTTGACCTCATCTGGGTCATAGAACTATATATTCAGGTCAAAGCAGATTATTACAAGTATTAGAGTTGTATCAGCATAAGAAAGCGTAAAGAGAAGCCTTGCGACACATTAATACTGACTTCATTTGTCTAATATCTAGAGTAGATATGTGTGTTTGTTTACTCTGGTCTATTTAATGTCCGTCATTTCCTCATTCGCGGCAGACGGTTTCAGACGGCTGCCCGGTGGTATCGGTATCGGTTCTATGTGTATTTGTGCACATTTACTAATGAATAAACTCACACTTTGATTGTATTACAGCTCTTGGTTGTTTACATTATTTTTGAAAAAGAAATTCCACAACAGCTTGCAAAAAGTAGTATTTCAGAATTGTAACATTGGAATATGAATATCGATGAACAATGGTCATCCGCTAGCTCAATCAACCGCAATAGGGAAGTGCTCATGGATGAAGTTTTGCTACATCTCTCTCTGGCTCCTTTTGACTTACAAGTAAAAGTAAACTCTTCTAGCTCAGTAGCTGTTTGTGTGGGACTCACCATTTTGGGCTCTCTATGATCCTGTTGTTTATATTTAGATTATTAGATTAGATCAGTGTCTCCCAAAGTGGGGTCCGCGGCCCCCTGGTGGGCCGCGAGGGTACTGCAGGGGGGCCGCGGGAGGTCATAAAAAAAAAATATATATATTATTTAATGTTAAATTTATAATGTTTTGTTTGTAATATTAAAATATTTGTGTTCATTATTTTACTTGAATAATCCACTGTAATCATTTTTGTATTACAATGTTTGTAGCAGAGGCTATTTCCCCAAAATAAAATAACCAGAAGAGCCTATTCTTAATGTTGTCTTCTTGGTTATTATTTTGGGGGGCCACGCAGACCCGTCAGATTTTTAAGGGGGCCTCGGTGTTACTGAGTTTGGGAATGGCTGGATTAGATTATTTCATTTGCAAGGAAACTCTAGCTTGCCTGAGTAGTCACCTCAGCAACACTTCTGCCCCTGTCATGGCGTGAAGGTAACAATTTTTATTGCTCAAAATTGGTTCCAGGAAGCTAACTTTTGTTCAAATCAGCTTCATTTTCATGAATCAGCAAACACTATGTTGACGTCAGCACTCGGTCAGTCCACTATAATACAGTCTCTACTGACCCTGCCTATTCATCGGCATCATTTAAGTTCTCTCCAATTCATTTGATTGAATGATAGAAGTGTGGATGTTTATTCCTGAGTCACTTGGCACCGGCTGAGCTTGGACTGCTCAGTTTCAGTCAGTCTGCAGACACCATGGTGTTGGCTAAGCAGCGTGGCCCTCAGCCTGATCCTCTGCAAAAGACGATAATCTCAGCTCCTTAGCCAGGTCACTGCGCACACATGCCACCATATGCACTGCTCAATGTATTTCTCAATGACACTGACCCTGCCCCTGTTTGTATTGAAGCTGCTAAGCTGGAACAGTTCATGTAATTGTTATACCATTGTGTAACCATTTGAAGTTGAAGCATCCTTAAATAACTCATGTAAATAGGCCGTTAATTGGGAGTGGACTGAGTACTGCAGAAGAGGCCTATTTGACCTTGAGCTACCCTCATGGGTTAACTTTCCAGCGTACCAGGGTCAACCTGGGGTTTTTTAAGATAGTTGTTATGGGCAAGATGGAGTTTCTCCTACGAATGAAGTCTGTCTTATTGGTCTATCCTTATATGGCTCATAACGGAATTTAAAAAGACAATATCACATTATATGACACTGGGATCAACAAAAGGGTGAGTGGACACAAAGTTACTGAGCATGAGGAGTTGACTTTTTAATGTAAGTCAGAAACCAGAGCGAGTTGGAGCAAAACTTTGTCCATGAATACTTCCCTAGCTCGTAGCATTGCCCATCTATATAAAGTCAATGTATGTTCTATATAGGCCTCAATATATTTTAGTGGGCCTTAGTAGCCTCATTCAGCCTCACTGAGTTGTATTTGCTCTCTTTCCTCAGTTTTCAAACTTACAGTCACCTTTAATTCAGTTACAGTTAATTTTCGCGACACATTCTGACGGTGAATCCTCTGACAGGTACATCCAGGCTGCGACTTCTCCCAAAGACATCATCATTATGTTTGACATGAGCGGCAGCATGAAGGGCCTGAAGATGACCATCGCCAAACACACCATCAACACCATCCTGGACACACTCGGAGAGAACGACTTTGTGAACGTTATCGCTGTAAGAAACATACGGTAGAAGTATACAAAAAACACTGAGTTGAGTTAGCTGAAGAAATATATATTGTCAGACGCATGGGCCAAGCATAAGTCAGGTTTGTGGAGGCGCAAGCCCGTTATAGCCCATAATAATGACGCCTGTTTTAATACTTATCGGAGTCACAAAAATGTTCAAATTAGAATGTACATATTCTGCTAATAATACGGATCCTGAACGTGTTAGAATGACAGTCAAAGTTCAGACCTATTCAATCCAGGATCTGGCAAACAAACGCTCCCCATCTAATGTTCCTTTAACTTGTCATTACTTTGTGGTGTTCTTTCACACAAAAAATGATAAAAACTATATAGAGGAGCTTCTTCTTGATTCTGACATTATGACCTCCTCGACCTATATGTGTCTTCTGTGTTTTTACAGTACACTGACTACGTCCGCTATGTGGAGCCTTGTTTTAAAGGGACCCTGGTTCAGGCCGACTTGGACAACAGAGAGGTAACCATCTACATTTGTCAGTCCTCACAATTAAGAGTACCCTTGCACACACATATACTTACACACAAATGCACACGCACACACACACACACGTAGCATCATGAGATCAGCCTCTTGGCCTACTTCTTAGACCCACAACAGAACTACAGCAGGTTAACCCACGGCACTGAGCGTCTGTAAGTGAGTGCAGTCTATTTTAGGTTTCAACTAAAATGATGAGTTATAGCCATTAATTTGCACTACTCTTGCCATATTGCTGTTTTGAAAATTTGATGGATTTTTGTGCAGCCCTAAATCACAACTGCAGTCGTCTTGGAGGAATGCACAAAGTTGTATAAAATAACAAACACAAAGAAGCTGTTCGTCCATAGAGAGCGGGAAGACCAAAGTCCATTAATGTTAATATATGTCCATAGAACAAAACAAACAAATCACAATCAGAATCATTTTTATTGCCATGTAATTAACAGACTAGGAAATTGCTTTGGCTCTCGGTGCAACAGTAATACAAGTTCTTTATTGCCTTTCACAATCCGCTCCATGTATTTGTCTCTTAGCATTTTAAACTTCTGGTGGAGGATGTTCATGTGAAAGGTGAAGCCAAGATCAACAAAGCCATGAAGGAGGCGTTTAAAATTCTCAATGAGGTTTGTACAAAAATAATGTTATTTAAAAAGTTATCAATGGTTTACCAATTTTTAATTGACTGGGGATGAATTTATGTTTCAGGCCAGAACAAATGGCCAGGGCAGCATGTGTAACCAGGCGATAATGCTGATCACTGATGGAGCCATGGAGGACTTTGAGTCTGTTTTTGAGGAGTACAACTGGCCTGACCGCAGGGTAAGTGTGTGTGGTTCATGTATTACATTAAAATAGCATCCATCAAAAAAGAATCATAATCCTCTTCACTCAAAATAAACAAATCCCATGCTGAAGAAGCCGATTTGAACATAAGCGAGCTGGAGCCAATTTCCTTATATTGTTAGCTTCACGCCGTAATAGGGACAGACCAGTGGGGCGGGTCCCGAGAGAAAGGTCCATGAGAACGTGCGCTGTCATTTTTGCTATACAACCCCGGGCCCGTAAGGGTGGACCTGGAAAGAGAATTACCTAATTCTTTTGAATGCCATATTTTTTCCTCTCAAAAGCGGCTTTACAGCATGGTCCAAAAGTTGGCTCTTGACCCAGGGCTATGTTCCGAATGTGTGTCAATGCTGTCCGGTCTAGTTTAGCTGCTGTGGACTTGTAGAAGGCACTTGTTAATTGAATGGGGCTAGTGCTGGCTGACACATGCGCAAATGGATTTTTTCACATTTTCCTGCCCCGCTGCCATTTTGAAAAAGCCTCATAGAAGCCAAAAGTGGTGGCAAATTAGTGTCCGCGGGGCACCTGCTGTGTATGTACTCAAACGGGATTCCACCACCTCAGCGGCCGCAGTGCTCCCGCATCCAGCGGCTCTGAGCTGGACGCAGGAACCGCTCACCGGGAACCGCTCACAACACAGTGAGCGCGTAGCCGCAACGTGACCATGTACCCAAGACCATAAACGCGCACAGGACCATGCGTGTCTTTTCGTAATTTGTGCACCCAATAAATACACCGCTGCAGAAAACAGTCCGCGTCTCCCCTCTCCTCTAAATTAAAGCTCGGGTACCTACATTTTCCATTGCATTAAAAGTTCATGTTTGAGTCCAAAAGTAAAATGTTGTGAACAGATTAAACAGATTTAGAGCCAGCCAATGGCTGACAATATGCATTTCAGACATTTTTGACCAATTCTCATCCCTGTAACAAACAATAGTATTGTCTGTGTCACCTCCCTCACTCTGAGACATGTTTATTACTCTGTTTAATGTAGACTATTGTACTTTATTTTATTGTTGAAACTGCAGACATCCTGATCCTCTACAGCAGCCATTTCCAAACTCAGTAACACCGAGGCCCCCTTAAAAATCTGACGGGTCTGCGTGGCCCCCAAAAATAATAACCAAGAAGACAACATTAAGAATAGGCTCTTCTGGTTATTTTCTTTTGGGGAAATAGCCTCTGCTACAAACATTGTAATACAAAAATGATTACAATGGATTATTCAAGTCAAATAATGAACACAAATATTTTAATATTACAAACAAAACATTATAAATTTAACATTAAATAATTATATTATTTTTTTATTTTTTTCATGACCTCCCGCGGACCCCACTTTGGGAGACACTGCTCTACAGTATTTGCTTCCACATACTGTATAAACCAGGGGTCGGCAACCTTTAGTGCTCCTAAAGTGGCTCCTGGAGCCTTTTCAAAAATGTCTGAAAATGGAGTGTGAGGGCTATATTTTATTTCTAGTTTCAATGTGGTTTCTGTTGGAGAAAAATGCTGCAAAAACTTGTATAAGTAATATTCAATTTTAGCATTTCTGTCAACGTAGTGCATCATATCCTGTGACGCGGCCCGCGCCAGGCGGCCGCTGCTGTAAACAAACCGGCGTGTGCACATCATAGACTATGCGCATGGATCCCAAAGATAAAGAGAGAAAGAGTCGATAAGACTGGACTAAGAATGAGAATGAACATTTGCTTTCAGTCAATGAGGAAGGACTGCTTCATGTTTGCGATGTAATGAAAAGTTTTGTTGCAACAGGAGGAACAATGAAGCTTTAAACACGTTCACTGAAAGATTCATTCATCATAAAGTCAGAGCACCTATTTTTAGACTTCAAATACCTTCGCAAAGACGGTGAAAGAAAAGGCCATTAAGGACATTCAGCTCCAGCAAACTTCAGTCTATGACGTGATCGATATGAGCAGACAGTGATGCAGGTGAACTCTGAGCCAAAAAGTAGATGTATTTACTGTATTTGTACAATTGCATGAAGGCAAAAAAAAAGGAAGTTAAACTTAAAGCAGTCGTCACGTGGTGCGTCATTCTCTCCAGGACACGCTGCAATGAAAATACACATTTGATAATCATGAATGGTTTTTATGTGTTTGTAGCCTTTACTTTGTCATTTAGATATGACTGAGGCTAATATAGCTAATATAGCTAAGGTAGCTAATGTAGCTAATACAGCTTCAGCCTCTGTTACCTTCATATAAGCCTTATACAACGTTTTTTTGTTTTTTTTTTGCGGCTCCAGACAGATGTTGTTTTAAGTTTTTTTGTCAAATATTGCTCCTTGAACCTTTTGAGTTGCCTGGGCCGCTAAGAAGGAAAAAATGCCCGGGCCCTGCTTCTATCCCAGTCAATAGGACCCAGAGCGACTAGGAGAAACACTCTTCCCTATTAGGCTTCATTGAGTTACCGGGTTAGCATTGGCCATCTATATAAAGTCTATGACAAACCCAAACAAATCCATAACAGCAATAGAGCCTGATTGCTTATATGGATTTTTCCATTACAGTCTGATCACTGTACAACCTGCATCTGAAACCACTTCATAAATCATAATATTCCGACCATGACTTTTATTATGACACGATTTGTGTGTGGGGATTTTTCACAAGGATGATAGATAGTTTAATTCATACGCAGCAGCTCAATCAGACCATTTGTGTCCAGGTGCGAGTGTTCACTTACCTGATCGGGAGGGAGATGACTTTTGCTCAAAACACAAAATGGATTGCCTGCAACAACAAAGGTGAGCCGGCTCGTGTCTTGAGAGTTACATTTTTTATTGAGTACTGTAAACTTGAAGGTCAAATATTATTAAGATATAGTAGTTCTTCAAAGTGCTCTTTTTTTGGCCATGGTATTATTAATGAATAAAAGCAGGGATGACAGTAGCTCAGTTGGTAGAGCATTGGCCTTTGAGCCAGAGGGTCGTGGGTTTGAGCCCGACTTTCACCATCGACCCACTGTCTGCTGTCGTTGTGTCCTTGGCAAGACACTTAACCTCTGGGAACACCTGGTGCCACAGTGGGGCGGCTGCGGCCCCATTGCCTAGAATTAGTCTGGTGTGTGTGTGTGAATGGTTGGTGGTGGCCGGAGGGGCCGATGGCACATACTGGATGCATTATTATTATTATTATTATTAATAATTTTAAATTAACTCAACTATTTTTTCAACTATAAATGAACAGTCTCCATATGATTCTCCATATAACTCCATATAACTCCGTATATCTGAAAATTAAAATGCTGGTTTAACTGAAAATGCTATTAAATCTAAAATGTTTTTAAGTCTTTGTGTTATTAAGTTTTGAGTTTTTAAGTTTTTGAGTTTTTAAGTTTTTCAGTTTTATGGTTTTTTTTTTTTTTTTTTTTTTTAAGTTTTTAACTTTAAAAAGCGTAAGGGCTACAGTTTCACATACAGAATGCTAATATCGTCTTTGTACAGGTTTTAAAAAACACAATTTTGGTTCACAGGTTATTACACGCACATTGCCACCCTGGCCGACGTGCAGGAGAACGTCATGGAGTATTTGCACGTGCTCAGTCGACCCATGGTCATCAACCACGACCACGACATCATCTGGACCGAGGCCTACATGGACACTGTGGTGCGTTCACGTTCATTCCTCACAGATCAGTGTTTATGGCCTGTTCTTATCATGCACTGTTGGTTCTGCTGCTGTCATCCACATGGTCGTCTGTGTTTGTAACATCTTTGCATTTCACTCGCCCATCATCCTCCTGGCCCCGCCTCCATCTTTCACAGCTTCCCAACACTATGGAGGTAAATATCATGTAGCAGTTGCACTTATATTAGTAAAGGTTAGTTTGTGTGCTATAGTATATACAAATATATAGCCTGATCCTGTTAGTACTTAATAATGGGGTCTGCAAGGTCGTAACAGATAAAAGTTAGCAATATCTGTATTAATCTTGCTTGAGTTTAGCTTAATACTTGCTTGAAGAATAAATGTAACTAAACTAGTAACTTATTAGAAAATGTTTACTTTGATGATCACAAGAAACCACTTTTTTTGGAATTTGATATAATTTTGGGCTTTAAATCATGATGCAAATACAACAATTCTGTTATCTCTTGTTGCAACGAGATCAATTTTTTTCTTTTTTTCTTCAATGGCCCAAGCAGTAAAAAGTGAATTACTGCTAAAAAATATTCTACTTTTTTGCTGGCAAACCTGTATATTTAAATGTGTCACTTTTATCTCTGTGGAGCACTTTGGAAACTTGTTTTATAAAAAAAATAAAAGATAAAGTGGATTGGATTAAATTATCAAAATGATCTAGACTACAATTTTGGAATATTTTTGTATGTCTCAATCCAACTACAGTTACTACCATCTGCACGCACACATCATAAATCATAATTATACCCTTTGTGTATTGCTGAGCACGTCATGTAGACTTTTAAAATGCTTAAAGTCTATTTCTTGTGTTTGTCAGCTTTTCAACACAAAGGCTCAGAGTCTGCTGCTGATGACGTCAGTGGCCATGCCTGTCTTCAGCAAAAAGAAGGAGACGGTCAGTGATGATAAACCTTTACACATATAAAAGTTCCAGATGAAGTTGTTGTAAAAATCTTTCTGTGTCTGTAGTTGTCCCATGGTATTCTATTGGGGGTGGTGGGCACTGACGTCCCCCTGCAGGAGGTGATGAAACTGGCACCAAGATACATGGTGAGGATCTTTCTAAATGATATATACGTGGACAATGTTACAGTGATGGGAAATATTCATGCTTTCCTGTCCTTTCTGATCATTGTGGTTATTGGCAACATGCATAACTGTAAATTCTTTAACACGTGTCTTTCCTGTCAGCTCGGACCTCACGGTTATTCCTTCCTGATCACCAACAATGGATACATCCTGGCTCACCCGGACCTTAGGCCGTTGGTTGGTATATTTTTACTGTAACAATTCTATAAAAATGCAACACAATAGCGAGTATATTTTAAATATGTTTTCATTTGAACTTATTTTAGTAAGTATTAAGTATTTCAGTCATAGTAAAGAGCTGTAAATAGGACCAGGAGAAACTCAAATGGACTAATGGTCTATACGTTTATTGAATGCATTTAGCTTGATTAGATTTTGATGGATACTATTGATGCTGGCATGAAGAAGATGGTGTCTATAAATGTTTCACATATAGGAATGATCCGAAGTAATCTAAGGAGATTGGTTGATACTGGTTGGACTGAAGAAAAAGGAAGCACATGAATTCTCAAGACCTAGAGTACTCAAGACCTAGTACTAAAACAGGACCAGACCAATTAACATCTTTGTCTAGAAATATAGAAGTTAATTTGAAAGATTTGACCTCATTCACTCGGTAGATTATCAGAATCAGAATCCTTTTATTGCCATGTGAGTAACAAGAAGTCACAAACTAGGAAACAAACTAGCAGAATAAAGTCAATAAGGCATAAATAAAAATCTACATCATATCTTCAGTTTACTACAGATTATTTATTTTCCGTCAAATGTTTCATAGCAGACCGTTGGAGTCACTCACAAGGCCACACTTATCCCAAAGGTCTTAGTAGAAAGATGTGATCTGATTTACTCTTGTTTCTATTTAAAGCCGGGGCAGATGCCCTGAAGGGTACATTAGGAGTGGTATTAAACATTGATGTGGGTACAGTATTTCACTATTAAAAGCTTCTCTGTGTCACAGTACAAAGACGGAAAAAAACTGAAGCCCAAGCCTAATTACAACAGTGTGGATCTCGCTGAGGTGGAGTGGGAGGACACCGATGAGCTGGTAAGACTTTTACCAACTTTTAATGATGTTATGGTTTTCAGAGTTGTAATCTGAAGCTCAGAAAATCACAATGCGCTCTAAACTAAACATTTTTTACTTGATTCTCGTAACTCTTACATAAATATGACATTTTAAAATAATCAAACCCATTGTTTACAATTGGAAAAAGGTGCCTTGCCCTCTCCAGTTGGGTGGAGAGGTCCCTCCCCAAGTGGACGAGCTCGAGTCTCTCAGGTCTTGTTTAAAGTCAGGGAAGGATGGAGCATCGACTGTTGCAGTGAACAGGGAACTGAGTCGAAAGGCAAAGTTCTCGTTTTACCAGTCAGTCTACGTTCTTACCCGCACCTCTCATGAGCTTTGGGTAATGACCGAGAGGGCAATACCAATCAATCACCTTAGTGGTCCAAATCATACTGGTGGTGCTTTTGTGTACCTATGTGAAGGGTGCACTTTTGAGAATAAAAAAATAAAAAAAATAAGTTTTTTGTATTAATTTAAAAAAATACTTTTTAAAAATATATTATTATTGTTTTATATTATATATAATATAAACATGACGTCACCTTTTATCAACTACTGCTGTATTAATTTGAACGCCTCTTCTGTTGTAGCTGCGGACAGCGATGGTGAGAGGAGAAACTGGCAGCCTCACTCTAAACATCAGAGCTTCACTCGATAAAGCGGTACAAATACACTACAGTGGTCCCTCGCTATAACATGCTTCACCTTTTCAAGGTCTTGCTGTTTCTCCGATATTTTTTAATGCAATTTTGTGCACTTTTTTACAGCGTCCTTTTTGTGCACTACAACATAACATACAGCATAAAAAACCCTAGTATAACAGTTAGATTAATATAAAAAAAACGTATGTGCCTTTTGTGCACCACGATGATAAGTTTAGAGTACTAACGTGGTCTTCCTGTTGCCCTCAGTCCTGCTCCTGCTCTCAGCGCTGTGTCCTCTGCAGCTCTGAGAAGTTTTATAGCCTTAAAACATTGAGCTGCTTCTTTGCAAATTCCACTAATTGCAGGTTCTATTAAGAACGTGACCCCCGCTATAGACGAGGGACCACTGTATATCCTGTTTAAACATTGTCAATAGTTGTTAGATCTTGTTATTGATTTGTTTTCCTGTTTTGTTTTAACAGAAAAGGCCCTTGTACTTAGTCAATGACTACTTCTACACAAACATTGATGAGACACCGTTCAGGTAAATCAGCTCCACTGGAAATCTCGCACAACGGGTGCTTAATCAGCATGTTCAACAGTTTTCTACTTTTCATATCGTGATGACAAGGCTCATGATCCCATTGACTTTTATCTGAAATATTGAATCTCTGTTATTTATTTCACTCGAGGGTGTGGTAGATCAAAGAGTTTGTCAGATGACCAGTTTATTTGCTTCCAGAATGATCACAACAATCATTATGTAGGATGTATGAGACGTGTCATTAAGCACAGCAAAGATATGAAACAGATTTGTCAGATACCTGAGATTTCCTTCAGACACACTCATGCAGAAAATATTTTATTTGTAAAATAAAACTTATCATAAAATTGTTGTGGGCATTTTGGTTCGCACAGTAGTAGAGGATGGGTTGCCATGCAGGAGGCTGGGACTATTGTACATGTTTTCAGTGATAGGAGAAACCGGAACACCTGATGTAAAGCAATGCAAACATGGGGAGAACATGCAAACTCCTCACAGAAAGTTTCGGTCTGGAGGTAGAATCGGACTCAAGACTTACAAAAAAGTATATATACATTTTTGTTTGTTTATGTATGTGTTATTATTCATCATATTACCAGGGCTTAAAGTTTTCCGGCACCGTGCCGGAAATCCGGCGTGAGAAAAAAAAAAAAAAAACATCACTTTTTTTTTTTTTTTTTTTTTTTAATATATATATAAATAAATAATGATTGCTGTCATTTGAAAAAGGTTCAAGTGTGTTCTACCAAATGTATGAAAGGATTGCATGTGTATAGCGCAGGGATTAAAGAGTTCCGTCTAAGTGACGGATTTCCGTCAAATGAAATTGGTCTGAAAAAAAAAAACAAAATATATAATAATAATATAATACACACAAGGAAATGGTTAATTATAACAAAATATATAGTAATACGTGTGAATCTGTTGTATATATCTAGATATATATTAATAATTTGAATATAATTGTATTTATATGTATATAGAAATAAAAAGTAATATAATCACGAGTTGGGTGTGTGGACTGGGTCGTCGAGGTCTCCGCCTTCGACTGCTGCCCAGTCCTCTCTGCACCTCGCCACCACGGACCCCTCTGCAGGTGGTGGGCCCACAGGAGGGACTGCCCACGTCATCCCTTCGGGCTGAGCCCGGCCGGGCCCCGTGGGCTAAGGCCCGGCCACCAGGCGCTCGCTTGCGAGCCCCGACCCCAGGCCTGGCTCCAGGGTGGGGCCCCGGCTGCGCCATGCCGGGCGACGTCACGGTTCTCATTGTCGTGCTGTCCATGGTTGGCTTCGGACTGCGCTTCGTCTGACTCGTCACTTGAGACCTGTCTACCATGGGAGACCCTACCAGGGGCATGAAGCCCCAGACAGCATAGCTCCCAGGATCATCCGAGTGCTCAAACTCTCCCACCACCTTAAGGTGGCAGTCCAAGGGGGGAGTACTCGAGTACTCGAGGGTTCATGGTAGTTCGCCCAACCTGTCCACATGTGCTTTGTGGATTTGGAGAAGGCGTTCGACCGTGTTCCCCGGGGTGTCCTTTGGGGGGTCCTCCGGGAGTACGGGGTCCGGGGTCCTCTGCTGAGGGCTGTTTGGTCCCTGTATGACCGGAGCCAGAGCTGTGTTCGCATTGCCGGCAGTAAGTCAGACCTGTTCCCGGTGAATGTTGGCCTCCGACAGGGCTGCCCTTTGTCACCGGTTCTGTTCACTGTATTTATGGACAGAATCTCTAGGCGCAGCCAGGGGCCGGAGGGGGTCCGGTTCGGGAACCACAGGATTTCATCTCTACTTTTTGCGGATGATGTCGTCCTGCTGGCTCCAACGAACCAGGACCTGCAACATGCACTGGGACGGTTTGCAGCCGAGTGTGAAGCGGCTGGGATGAGAATCAGCACCTCCAAATCCGAGGCCATGGTGCTCGACCGGAAAAAGGTGCCTTGCCCTCTTCAGGTGGGTGGAGAGGTCCTTCCTCAAGTGGAGGAGTTCAAGTATCTCGGGGTCTTGTTCACGAGTGAGGGAAGGATGGAGCGTGAGATTGACAGGCGGATCGGTGCAGCGTGCGCAGTGATGCGGTCTCTGTATCGGACCGTTGTGGTAAAGAGGGAGCTGAGCCGAAAGGCAAAGCTCTCGATTTACCGGTCAATCTTCGTTCCCTCCCTCACCTATGGTCATGAGCTGTGGGTAATGACCGAAAGAACGAGATCGCGGATACAAGCGGTCGAAATGAGCTTCCTCCGCAGAGTGGCTGGGCGCTCCCTTAGAGATAGGGTGAGGAGCTCGGTCACACGGGAGGAGCTCGGAGTAGAGCCGCTGCTTCTCCACGTCGAGAGGAACCAGTTGAGGTGGCTCGGGCATCTGTTCAGGATGCCTCCTGGACGCCTTCCTGGGGAGGTGTTCCGGGCACGTCCCACCGGGAGGAGGCCCCGGGGAAGACCCAGGACACGCTGGAGAGACTATGTCTCTCAGCTGGCCTGGGAACGCCTAGGGGTCCCCCCGGACGAGCTGGAGGAGGTGTGTGTGGATAGGGAAGTCTGGGCGTCTCTGCTTAGACTGCTGCCCCCGCGACCCGGCAACGGATGAAGCGGAAGAAAATGGATGGATGGATAATCACGAGTGGGCCTTGAACGTGCCGTGGCTAGCTACATGAGCGCTCCGTAAATGATTCAAGGCAATGGGACGTAGCCAAGTTAGCGATGGTAACACGGAGGTGAAAGTTTCTGAAAAGTGCACGGAGCTTTTGAAAAGGAGAAGAGGACAAGGAAAATGTAATCCCGAACGGAGCAATAACAGCCAGCAGCCCGCGGACCGGTAAGCTAGGCGCATTATCAGAGGAAAGGTAGGACATAATTAACGTTTACCAAACGCAATGCTTTTTTATTTAACGGAATGTACAATATGTACTTTGCTGTGACTGGGAATGGGGACAAGCATGTCTTGGTGAGCTTTTGATAATATCTTGGTGGCGATCCCCATGCAAAACTGCGTGATAAAAAGAGCCAATCAACGAGAGCGAACGGAAGAAACTCGCTGAAGAAAGGTGTGTGTTAGCAGCAAGCCCCGGCGATCCAAGATGGCGCCCTATTCAAATGAATGGTTGTGCTCAGTGGCGCTTTGTGACGGCATGGGGCTGAAAGATTAGCGGAAGTTGCCTGAAACTCGCAAAGATCTATGGGAAACTCGCCTGTATTTGGGCATCGTCTGGTCCTCCCGGTTCTGCGCAGTGGATGATCTCCCATAATGCGTTGCGCCAAACACGCGTGTGTGGGTCTCACACCGGGTCTCACGCACGTGCACAGAGGGGCTCGGCCGCGCTCTGACCAATCAGAGCAGTTCATCAGAGCGGGAGTTAGAGCGAGAGCCAGACGGTGCAGTGTTTGTGGCACTAAAGTGTGGATTTAAACAAAACTGAAGGATTTAAGAAGAAAAAAAGTTCAGGATGACAAGGGACACTAAAATCCCCACAAAATCCGATCTTTATTAAAGCTGTAGGTTCTCTGTCAGCTGAGGTTGAGCTGTTTTAATATGCATTGAGTTCTATGGGGAAAATTTCTGGGTAGCCCACGTGAATTTAGTCTGGTTCAGTCTGCAGTACCGCGAGAATCCCCTGAGCACATGAGTTATTCAGCTACAAGCTAGTAATACCCTATCCAGTTAATATAATACATCCATGGTTAGCAGGTCTTATATTCATTCATCAAAGCTAGCCTAGCATGCACGCACAATCACAATCATGGATCGTTGTTTATGGAAGAAGGAGCAGTATAAGTTGCTGTTGATAACAGTGAAAAATAAATGGAGGTGGGCATGGCTGGATGAGGTGGAGACGATGGGATTCTGTTGCTTCATGGTGCAAAAAGATGAAGGTGTCCGGTGCTTGTTCGTACTTCGCTATTATTATTTTTTTATATGGGAGTAATGAGAAAACAGCTTTGGATTCACCACCAGCTCAAAACTGCGCACTTGGCAGCTGTCCGTGCACTTTCCCACACTTCTTTACCTGGTGCATCAGATTCAGCGACAACTGAGACTAGGCTTGCTCTGGTGGACTGTGTCTGTGACCTAAAACTAAGAGTCTGTGGCTTTATCGCAGAAAATAACCTGTCGTTCAGAACCATCACTACCGCTGGTAGATTTAATTATCATTAATCATTTGCAGTTGATAAAACTGCGCTGTGCACTAGCACCAAGTTGATAGGGAAACCTTTTTCTTAAACATTGAGTGTCCACAAACAAATGTGGACAGAATTTTGAATGTCCTTTTGCAATATTTTGACGAGGACAGAGCCAAAGGACAACGCCTCATCTCGCCTCAAGTAAAGCCAATGATGCAGATGAACTACTCTCACTAATATTCTGTCAAAGAGTTGACAAGTTGCTTGATCCACTGGTTGTAATTTCACATCAAAATACACCAGTTTAAATGTATATCTTTGAAGAATTCGTTTGATCTGTAATTCATTATATTTCCATGAGAAAATTTTCAGTCAAATCTTTTTTTTTTGCTTTAACCCCTGGCCGCTTATAAAAAACGCTTATTAGTGATCATTCTATGATTCATATAGATGGTTCAGGCTCAGGAATTTTTTCAACTTTAACCCATGTATTACCATAAAAGTACAAGAGAGACATACATACAGACAATAGATGCAGCAACGTCCGGACATTATACAAGAAACAAAAGGGGGTGTGTGTGCTTGTGTGCGTGCGCGTGTGTGTGTGTGTGCTTGTGTGCTTGTGTGTGTGTGTGTGCTTGTGCGTGTGTGTGTGTACTACAGTTCACTAGAGGGCACTAAAGGTATGTGTTTGTCTCTTGTCAGTTTTGGCATGGCACTGACTCAGGGACACGGCAGTCTCATGTTTATGGGAAATGTCTCGGTGGAAGAAGGTACAATATTTCACTTTTTTGTTTTCTCTCCAGAACAACAATATTTGTATTAATTCACTTTTGGTTATTCATTCATCTTGTAGGTTTGCATGATCTCACTTCTCCTGACTTGTTCATCGCCACTGAATGGTGAGTGATCCAGAGAATGTAGAAATGCCCTAACCTTAATATATTGTTTTTTGTCAATGTTTTATTTATTTCTTGATTTTCCAACTTCAGGACATATTGTGAAACTGACATTGACCCTGACCACCGGAAATACTCCCAGCTTCAGGCGGCCATTCGTTACCTGCTTGGTAAAGAGCCTGACCTGGAGTGTGAGTTCAAATATGTTTTAATCTAACCCTCATGCTGGAATAAGTACAGATTTAAGTACTGATACTTCATACTTGAGTAACTCCAACACATACTGGCTTTTGTATGTTTATGATAGACAACGTTAATAATAAATAAAACTATACGTAAGTTAAACTATTAGAGTTGCCGGAGAAAGATGCAACCACCTTTGTGGAAGTATGTTATATTAAAGGTAGCAGTAAAATTATGTTGTTATGCTAACTAGCTTAGAAGCATGGCTAACCATCTCTGCATTAATGCCCATGTGGTGTTGGACAATCTTTGTGCTCCATGTCTATTGTGTATGTTGTTTTGAAAGTAAATGACCCATTATCAAAGTACAGTTGAAAGTACAGATATGTCTTTAAAAGAAAGTTGTAAAAGTTGTTAGAAAATGAAGTACTCAAGTTAAGTACAGTTTCTAGGAAAAAAATACATAAGCTCAGTAATTGAGAGACATTTGTGTATTTCAATGCCTGCAGTTTGTAAATTTCATCACATTTGCGCTGTCCTGCCTGAGTCTGTACCCTGCCTGAGTCTGGTCCCTGCCTTAGTCTCCTCTCTGTCTGAGCCTCTTCCGTGCTTGGGTCTGGTCCCTGCCTTCCTCTGATTGTTTGCCTCTGTGCAGGTGACGAGGTGCTTCTCTCTCAGCTGCTGTTTGATGCTGTGGTCACTGCTCCTCTTGAGGCCTATTGGAACGAACTCATGCTCAACGACAGGTCAGCGTCACATATGTCATAGTGCACAGGCTTGCACAAGTTTTAGATTGCACAATGGCAATAAAAAGACCATAACATATAAAACAGTGCAAATATATTTCATATAAATTGTCACAAATTTTCCAAAACGTTGTACTGCTAGTTCCCACAGTCCAGTCCTTATATAACCCATAACAAACAGTTTATAGAGGTTCTATGCCAAAACACACATCTGGTAGCACACATGGTTCTGTTTTTGGCACTTAATAGCACTAGCCATCATTCTTACGTGGTCCTGAATTGGCCCTATGCTTTGTCAGTATTCACTGTGAAAATAGTTTGGACACCCCTGCTCTAGAGCAAAGAAATATATACTTATATGTATAAATCTGTGATACATTATTTCATGTATTAGTTTATTTGAATAGGGACAAATTAAAATTACATTGATCAACAATACTGTAAATGTGCCTGTATTAGTATTTTATGTTCAATTATTTGCAACTCATCTCTTTGAATTTCTCTTCAAACTCATTAGAAAAGTTCAGACAGGTTTTTGCCATTACTATAATTATGCAAAAAGTCGTGAATTGCTTTTTGTGAATGCGTAGAGTGGAGCCAGGAGCCGAGACTGCCTTCCTGGGGACACGGTCAGGACTGATGAGGGTGATGAGATACGCCGGCATCGAGAACCGAGTGGCCAAGTACGGCTTTGACTTTGCCTTAGGTCCTCTGACTCAGCTGTGCTTTGCTAATACAACACAAACATGTTTTTGACAGGAGGTTCCTGACCGCAGGCGATAAGGACAACCTGTTCAGTGTAGACCACTTCCCCCTCTGGTACCGCCTGGCTGTGGAAAACACTCCGGGAAGCTTCTACTACTACTTGATCAATGACAAAGGTCGGCAAATTATAACTTCACATCTGTTGAATTATACAAACTCATGCTGCCTGTTTTCCTGACTATTTTTGATCCTAAAAGAGTGATTGGAACTCCTCTTGTGCTGTTCATTGGTGTCTTTTTGGTTTAATTCAAGTCTCAATAATCACAAACTACCAATATTGGCACCACCCTATGATCTTTTAACCTGTTTTCTGTCTTTTCTACACATACTGTATGTAGACAAGCAGTTTCAGAGTCATTTTGAGGACTTCTTTTACCATAGGCCAGATAGGATATTTATGTTCAGAATATTTTGACTTTGAATGTAACATTATGAGTGGAACAGGGAGGGTTCCATACTCCAAAATAAAACAGAAAAATAGTCTCATAACCATAGGCCGTGTATTAGGGCTGGGCGATATGGCAAAAATTAAAATCTCAATTTTATTTCCTGCTTTGGACGATTTCATTAAAGTCACCAAAGACAAACTTTGCCCTTAAAAATATGTTTTCATCTTTCCGCACAATATTCAAGTTTCAAAACTATTTTTAATTTGTTTCCCCCAATACGTATTAGAAAGGTCTTGTACAGACTGTGCTGATATTGCAAGTATAATTCATGTGCTCTCTCCCAATATCCTTCATTCGATTTCACGATTTTCACATTTTTCCCAAATTCGATTTTTTCATAAGCCGATTAATTGTCTAAATTCGATTTATTGCCCAGCCCTACCGTGTATTAGGAGTGGACAGACCAAGTGCTGTAGCGTTTGCAGAATGCGTAAGAAACCAATTTGAACATAAGCTAGTTGGAACCAATTTCCTTATATGGGTATTTGTATTTGTGGCAGACCGGGGTGGGGGTCCCTCTCTACAAGAAGAGAGGGAATGTGTTCCAATTATCGTGGGATCACACTCCTCATTGGTCGCTGCACAAGCGTCCAGAGGAAACGTTCAGCAATATTTATCTCCTGCGTGCGTCAATTTTCTGCTCCTGCGATCGAATCTTGGATTCAGGAGGAGCAGTGTGGTTATCGTTCCGGTCGCGGAACACTGGACCAGCTTGCTTTGAGCGTGTTTGCCGATGCGGAAGTTCCGTTTAATAATAAAATAACCTTATGGCGCACCTCCTTGAACACATACTGCTGTTATATAAAGTCTCTGGAAGGTCTCTGGACACAGAGACGCTGCGTTTGGTGAAGAACTTTACACAAAAAGCCGCTAGCTTAACTCCGTTAGTATCAAAGTATGTCTGCTACTTCCGGCGGGCGCCACCACAGGCCAGGACTTCTGGTCTGAAGACCCCTGCGTCTGAAAATTAGAGAATGTGCGTCTGGTGCGCGAGGCGTCAGCGTTCCAGCGTTGGCGGTGTGAACGCTCCCTTAGAGATAGGGTGAGGAGCTCAGTCACATGGGAGGAGCTCGGAGTAGAGTTACTGCTTCTCCACGTCGAGAGGAACCAGTTGAGGTGGCTCGGGCATCTGTTCAGGATGCTTCCTGGACGCTTCCCTGGGGAGGTGTTCCGGGCACCTCCCACCGGGAGGAGGCCCCGGGGAAGACCCAGGACACGATGGATGGACAATGTCTCTCAGCTGGCCTGGGAACATCTTGGGGTCCCCCCGGACGAGCTGGAGGAAGACTTGACGTCTCTGCCTATACTGCTGCCCCCGCAACCCGGCAACAGATGAAGCGGAAGAAAATGGAATGGAATGGAATGGGTATTTGTTGCGACAGCTTTCGCTTTTTACCGTAAAAGGGGCAGACGTGTTGCTAAGAGGATCACTAAGAGAATCTGATTGGTCAATTTTATATGGCTCATATCTGGATTCACAAAAACAGTATCAACGTATAAACAACAGGATCACAGAAAGCCTGTTGCACTTCATTGAGCATTGTGTATAATATATACATGTGTATATAGTGTATGCTCATTACGCTGTGTTTTTGTTCAGGTGTGAAATACGTAATAGCAACAACATCAGTGACCGTCTCTTCTGGAGGAAAGACCGCCATGGCTGGAGGTGAGTACGCCACACCATCAAAATATACCATGGATCGTAATGCGCTGCAAACATGTTGGTTGTATTGGACTTTTGGCTGCTTTCATTATGTGTTTCCACCAGCTGAATATATATGACTGATGAGTGAGTTGAAAAGTTGTTGTGAATGAAGGCATCTGATTTGTCAATCCTTTCATGACTTATATCGGGATTTACAATGATAATATCACAATCTAAACACCAGGATCTTACAGGGAACTAATCAACAGATAGTTTAAGTCCAAAATGGTGACTGTTACTGAGCTAAAGGATCTAAATCAATGGGAAAACTTTGTCCATGAGCACTTTCCTATTGGGCTTCGTTGAGTTCGCGGGTTAGCATTGTTCTAACTATATACAGTGAACCACTAGTTACAGTTTTAGAGGATGCACATTATTATTAAGTCCTAACTTTCCCCTCATTGATTCCTGGGTTCTTAGCCGTTGTCGCTTCTAATTTGTCATTCTTCCCAAACCCATGTAAGGAATTTTATTTTGGACATTATTACTGCTTTTCATAACATCTATTGGCTGTTGTTCCTCTTCACTGCTGACATTGATTCGCTGTTTAGGCATGTCATGTTTTTGTCCCAGCAGCGTTGTTTCTTTTGGCAATGAGAGAGGAAACATAAACACATAATACATCATTCCCTGAGGTTGGATTTTCACATTTATTTTGTTTGTAGTGTATATTAGTCAACAATTATTTATTTGAGTAATCCACATACAATTATTTGTATCATATTTTATATATTGTTTATTTCTGACTGAAGCAAGCGAAAAGGATTGTTCTTGTCTCTTTCACTTACTGCTTACTTACTCACTTTGCTTTTATTTTTGAGTGATCCAAATATTATTGCTACTGTTTATCATGGACATACACATCATGGAGATAGTCTAGTCTAGTCGAGTATTGGAAATATTGTTATTTCTTTGAGCTTTCTTTGAACTCTGAAGGCATTGGAGGAAGAGTCTATACAGAATGTTGTAAATATTGTGTTTGTATTGTTTGTCTATGCAATTTTTGTTGTTGTCTGTTGATGTCAGAAAATTCAATTGTATTTAATTTGTAAAAGAATGCACAGTCTTGAACATATATGACCTTGTGCTTTGTAAATTAGCCCCTTCTTTTGGAAAAAAAAACATGACCGATACAATTTTCTGCAAGGGAATTTTTATTTTAGAAGATCGAAATATTAATCAGTAAACATTTAGCTGAGTTCCATGTAATTGGAAGTGTGGAGGCAAAGGAAGGTTTCTCACCCATCATCTGTACTTCTTAGCAAGTTTTCCCGACGTTTCGTCCTCAACCTGGGGACTTCTTCAGGGAATGAATTCTCGGACCGCGCGTTGGAGATTTATAACCTATGGGTGTGGTAAGCCACACCCTAATCCTGATACTAACTCGTAAACAATCTCAGGTCTGCTTGATGTAGAAGGGAGCAGATCTAACGACCCTGCTGAGGCTAACGACCCTAACTCCTTAGCATGTCACAGACCTATTGTCTGCTGGGATGCTCAAGTGGAGTGCAGGTTTCACCCCTCCTAACTCATTAGCATGTCACTGACCTTGTCCCAAGTTAGGGCGTTGTTTTTAGGATGTCGTCATAGATGCGAGGCAAAACAAATCTTAACCCTCCTCCTCTGTTAAGAGAAGGTTTTTGTTTCCTCACAAAAATGGCTTCTTTCACCCCTCTCTCAAACCAATTCTTCTCCCGAGCCAGAATTTTAACCTCTGTGTCATCCACCGTGTGGTTGGAGGCCTTGAGGTGGAGATGAACAGCCGACTGTGGCCCACTAGAGTTTTCTCTACGATGTTGGTAAAGTCGTTTCTGTAGAGTTTGTTTGGTTTCTCCAATATAGTGGTCAGTGCACTCCTCTTCACTACATTTAATTGAATACACCACATTGCTCTGTTTGTGTCTTGGTGTTTTGTCTTGTGTGGAGGTCTTGAACCCTGTTTCAAGAAATGTATTTCGACACGGTCCAGACTACGATACCCAGACCTAGTATGGTGTGGGACTGGCTGACTACGGTCAATGTTCAATACTGCACAACCTTACCTATGTAATAGATAAGTTTCTGTGATTGTGTTTTAGGCCTCTGTCACATCTATTGATCAGCTTTTTCAGACAGAAAAGTTAAAATTTGAAGATCAAAAATGCTTTATAATATAAAAAATACATTGTGATCTGATTTGTTCACAATTTTTAGTTTTTACATAACTCTTTCAGTTGAGACAAACAAATGTATTTATGGGACCAAAAAAAAGTTAGGTACACAACTTTTAATGCATCTGGCCACAAAGGCTGTCATCGGCCCGGGTCTGAGTGGACCGCAGACATCACAGCATGTGTCCGTGCCTTGGTGTATAAAGTGTGTGGTGAGGAGTGTACCTTAAAACAACTTCAGAAGACTCTAATGAGATGCTATAAATTGAAATGGTTACTGTTACCATCAACACGTTTTGCTAAGATTAACGGCTACACTAGTTAGAAAGGACTGTTAGGAGGGAATCTTGATTCTGAGTTCCTCTGCCACAGCTGTGATCGCAGCCGCTGTTTTGCATTCGCTCAGACCAAAGGGAAACATCACCAGTGCACATACAGTCGATGGAATCAGGGTATTCCAGCTTCATTACCAACCCTCAAAATTATCCCTGTATTACTGCGGACAGAATAATATCGCACTGAAAGAATTATAAAATAGCTTGGATCCAGTGGTTTAATCTTTATTTGAGTACATTCTGACTGTCTTAAAACAAGATTTGCCAATGGGACAATGCCATTTATTCATTCCAAGGGAGGAATTTCTTGTTTCTATTTAAAACTAGATAATTTTGCGTTTTGCTTTGGCAAATCTTGTTATAAGGCAGTCAGAATTTGCTCTGTTTAAGAAAATTGAGCAATTTTGTACTTTTTTAAATCACTTTTTGCTGTGTGTGATGCACAGGTTTCATTATGTCCATATTAAAGGAACGCGTACACACCCTGCAACTATTTGCTTTCATTTCATACTACGCCATTTCAATGACGGCACACAGACCCCTTTGCCTATAGCGTTAGAGAATATACAAAAACAACCAACTATGCAGTGGAAACAGGTATATAGACAAAAACAGGTCTGTAATTCACAGTCTTAGAACAATGCAGTGGGAAATGCTTAAAAAGAATCGCTCACGTAGATAAATAAAAAGGTTTATTATAATTTTCATCATCATAACAGTCCTCAAGTTCAGATGTACAATATTTGATGTGCTTTTCTTCTGCAGTATAAACAGAACAAGTCAAGACACACTTTTATGGCTCTTTCCTTAAATAACCCTTTCTCTGCATCTCTCTATTTGTCTAATATATTGTTTGATACGTTCTCCATTCAGCTGCATAGTTTGTGTCGTTGTAAGCTGCTGTAGCTCTAAGCTTTAGCCTCTAGGTGGCAGCACAGCTCTAGTTTGAGACTACCTGCGATCCGTTAATCAAGCTTTAGATGCAGCATTGGTTTGGCAGCAGAAGCAGACATCCCAGCGGTGTCAAATCAGCAGTGTGAGAAACTCGATGTCAAATATTGTAATATGCAAATACATGTTGTTGAAACAATAGGATTTACATAGATTTTCAGACAGTTGGGTGGAAAAGACAAAATGAACCTCAAAATTATGTTTTTCGACAACTCTAGTAACTATCACTGATACGTCTGGAAGAAGCCTCTAATTGAAAGGGAAAGTCTGTATCAAACTATTTTTTTGTCTGAGAATCTTCTCAAAGCTGTAATTTTCTCTAAAATTATATCCACAGTACTAAAATTACAATCTCAAATATGATACGAATGAAATGGACAATAATCGGTGCTCATTTGATGGTACCACAATGTTTTCTTCTAGTTCTGAATTACAGTGGTCCTTTGCTAAAACCTTTCACTGCCTTGCTGTCTCGCAGATTTTTGTGTGTGCAGTTTTGCGTGCTTTTTAGCAGTCAAGAGGTCAGGTGGTTAGAAAAGTGGATAAGATGTGTTGTGAGAGATTTTACAGCCTTAAAACATGTAGCTGCTACTTCAAGGATTTTGAGTATTACGAGTTAACCTCTGCGATATACAAGGGTCCACTGTAGATCAACAATTTCTGACTTCAATTCACAGTATTCTTGATTTCCGAAACGTTTGACAACCCTGAAATATAATCCATCCATCCAACCGAGCACTCCCCAATGTTTTTGTTTTTCCAACATTCTCATCATTAATCAAAATTTGATTAAGACATTAAGGTATTTTAACACCAATAGATTATGATCATACATATTTTTTACTAAATCCCTCTTCATTCTCATTTAGAAAATTGCTTTTATGATTTGCACCTGTCTGTTAAGAAAAAAAAAGTGTGTGTGCTGGATTGTCAGAGCAATGACATGTGTGCGAATGACTGTGAAGGGAAATTTAAGGTAAAATTTTACCTTAAAAACAAAGCACGACTAACGCTAAATCAGGTACCGAGCAGCAGCGGAGAGCGGTCCTGGAGATGCAGCGTGGGGAATTAGGATGCACAGAGCACACATACATTAGAGCGGCCTCTGCAGTCTCGCCCTGTCTTTGAATGGAGTGCGCCCCTTTAGAAGTACAACAGACTACAGCCTTATCACTGCACCACAAGGCATTCCTCTCCAGATATTACAGCCTCTAAGCTCCTTCTTGTCCCGGCAATACCTCGCTGGTGTCTGGCCTATTTAAACACCAGGGAATACGACAGCAAAGAGGTGAGGCAATATTAAGTCTGGAGAAAGTAGACGGGTTAGCCAGACATAACGCAATTTGCCAACACTTTTAAATGGAGTTAGAAAGAGCTTGCAAAATGGTGCGCTTGGATAGTTTATGATTGCATACTTCTTTACCGCTGATAGGGAATGGAACTGTTTGTTTGTATACAGGTCTGGTTACTTGCTGCTGGGTACAATATTAGGGATAACTTTTACTGCCTCATTCTTGATAGAAATAGATAGAAAGATAGATACTTTATTAATAGGAGAAATTCAGGATGCTCACCATAGTTACTGTTTAAAAGGAAGGAACTGTTTAGAACTACTTTAAAACCAATGAGTATCTTGTGCATGGAGTTATTATTTGGAACGACTTGATAGATGTATTAAAAACATGTTCAAAGCTGTTACAATTTATAAGCTACTCAAAAAGGAAGCATTGAAGTATGTGGGAGGGAGGCTTTTGGTCAGAGAGTGTTTGGGCCTGTGTCTTGTGCTGTGTTGAATGTGTGAGAGGGGTTGGAAATAAGCCTTGGCTTCGTCCAACCTCAATTTCAATTAGTTAACTTCTGTTTTTTTACTTTTTTCATTTTGATCATACGTTTGAAATAAAATTCTTTCGTCCTCTAACAGAATGATTTTATAAAGGGATTGAACTAATTGTTTTGATAACATCAGAAACGATATGTTATCTTTTTTCTTTAGTGATCTGTTCTAACCTGGAGATAAGACTCAAAGCCATATGCTGTATATAGGTGGACAACACTAACCCACTAGCTCATGTGCTCAGTGCTCATGTACAAAGTTTTGCAGTAACTTGCTCTGGATCCTATTGACTTACATTCAAAAGTAATCTATTAGCTCAGAAAGCATCTGTGTCACGCTCACCATTTAGGGCTTAAAAAATATATGTTTATAGTCAAAACATTTATTTGTACATCCAGATATGAGCCATATAAGGATTGACCAATCTGATACATTAATTCTGGGAGTGAACTCCAGCTAGCCTTAGCAACCATCTTAGCAACACCTCTGCCCCTGTTACGGCGCAAAGTAAATCCTGTCAGAACAAATGCCCATAAAAGGAAATTGGCTCCAGCTAGCTTATATTCAAATTGGCCCGTTCCACGTTAAGGCAAACATTATGGCGACGTCAGCACTGTCAGTCCAGTTTTAATGCTGATTTCCAATAAAGTGCAGTGGTACAGCCAGTGTAACTCTATACAGGTACAGTTAAGTACATATGTAAACTGCTTCTGACATGAAACTTCTGCCAAACCAATATGCAGTATGCTGTGGTTGTCATTGCAAATAGAAGGGACATATACATACACATAACACTAGCCCTATATTAAGACAAAGCTGGGAAATACTAAGATATTCTATTAGGGCTGGGTACTTTTATATTTTGTGGACTGACTTAATGTCTAGGACTGTAGGGACCAATAACGAAGAAAACAACCATTAACGTAATACATTTCAAGGTATAAACTGTTAAAAAAAATATATATATATAAACATGCAATGTTAAGGAAATAAGTCATTTCTATTTGTTATTACAATCTTATTATGGAATTTCTATGCTATATATAATCACCAGTCGGAAAAAATAATAAGTTATAACATTTTGAAAATGGCTAGATTAATGACGTTTTTATGGTTCCTAAAAGGATTACTACAATCAATAACAGAAAAATAACTAAAAGATAGAAAAATTTAGGGAAACATTAGTGAGAAGTATAAAAAATGTCATCTGGTATCTTCAGTTAGCAGTCAACAGAGCTAAACACAAAGGAAAAACTATACGGGTAGTGAAGCCATGGAACAACAGCACTCTAAAGTGAATGTTAAAGTCCTTTATTGAAATCCTGGACGCAAGGGACGATGCATTTCAATATGTGTCTTCGTCAGGATAAAATTACACATCTGATAGACCCTAAGACCCTAAGAACACTGACCTCTTTTGGCAGCGATTCTTGCGACAAAATTTCAGACATTTGCTTGCCCTCGAAATCCATATCTGCACCCAACTCTGCCATGAGCGGCTGCCCCTTGCTCTTCATCTCCTTCTGGTACCGAGCCAGTTCAAATCATAGACTTCATTGCCAACGCGTTCCGACGTTCGCCCTCACTAGGAAAAAATTATGAAGACGGACGTCGAATTGCGTTGGCAATGAAGTCCATGATTTGAATAATGGACTTTTACATTCACTTCAGAGTGCCTTGGATCAATGCCTCACAACCAGTTTTTGGTATGTGTTTAGCTCTGTTTTGATCTGCTTCCCTAAGTTCCTTGGCTTTATCCTGATTTACTGATATATATTTCTTTCACTTTAAGCCCTTGCAGCACCCACATCATCTGTTCTTTTCAGCCATCATCAGGCATTGAAAGTTAAAGGAAAGAGATTGGTGTTGGACCATTGGACATTCAAATGATGGTGTCGGTGCATACCAATTGAGGATTTCATACTCTCTACTGAGAAATAACTGTAATTGTCACATTTCTGATTGGCCTTCACTGTGCCAAATTTTGAAACCAAACCTGATTTTGTCTGTCATACATTCAAATGGTACCCAGCCCTAATCTCACTGATAGAAGACACCCAAGGGTCCGGATTGTCAGAACGTTCAGAAGCTGCTTATCCGATAGCCATGCACAAGACCGCTGGCATCTTTCGGGGGCGATTCTTGCTGCGAAGTTGGAGACATTTGCCCGTCCTCCAAATCCGTGTCCGCACAGGACTCTGCCATAAGAGGCTGCCCCCTGTTCTTCACCTCCTTCTGGTACCGGGCCATCAGCGACGCGTAGACACAGCCGTAAGTCGCCGCAACCACCATCATCACACAAACCGTCCCGCACACTACCCCGGCTATGATCTGCGTCCCGTGGGCCCTTCTCACGCTCACAGGGCGGTAGCGCTGGCGAACGCAGTCTTCGTTGCTCTGGATGCGGCCCGGAGGACAGGGCGGTCTTGTGGCGTAGTGGGGCTCTTTCGCTCTGGTGGTGGTGGTCGTGGTGGTGGTGGACATGGTTGACATGGCGAGTTTGCTTATTTGTTGACGCGCGCAGTAGCTGAACATCTCGGCCGGTACGCTGCGGATGTCTCGGCCTCTGAGATTCCCCGGGAGACTGCAGTGCATCGAGTCCACCTGCCCATCTATTAAAACACACAGACAGAGAAGAACGGAGCAGAATAAATTAGACTTGACAAAAGGGGCAGAGCTGGAGGGGACGACTGGGGATAGATGGAGATGGAAGTCATTATATGTCAAAGCTCAGAGGGCCGTCCTCATGCAGAGTAGAGAGGAATACTTTAACTTTGAGAGATTTTTGTAATGGAATTTGCTTCTGTGCATTTTATCTAAGGACTGTGTGGCTCTGCACCGGATTTAATTTCTGTATAATCGCTAAAAGAAATTTACAGTAAGCCAATTTATTTATTTTTTTATCAAATGGGAGCAGCCTAAATGTATTGGCACACTATTCAAAATACACTATGGGTCTATTTTTTAAGAAGTTAAAATGTCTCTTCTCTACGCTCCTGTTTTTTTAGAAATGTGATGTGATTTAGAGAATAGAAAGTGTCCAGGAGTCTTCAAACTCTGATCTTATTACTTTAGCCAGGTAACTTTTGACTCGAATGGCTACTGTCAGACTGTACATTGGACCATGAACTGCTGACTCTGCATGTCATCCACCTGTAGCAACAACGTACTATTTATTCCGTCCATATCCTTAATCAGCTGTAACAATCGCTCTATTCCCCTACTGCTAACTTTCATAGTGCACTTGTTTCTGAAGGGATGTTTTTTGGGTCAGTCTCGGGTTTGGGTAGAAACCTCTCGGGTACTGGCCCAATTACAACTCTAATTTCCCCACTGTGGTTTGAAAAAGCAGTTTCTCTTATATTATCAAGAAAGTGATGGAATTCACTCACCTCTGTAAATGAGCCACTCCATCCAGTGCTTAAAGTCCCTCAGTTTGCAGTCACACACCCAGAGATTTCCACTGACTTGGAGCTGCTGAAGCTTGTCCAGGGGCTCGAACGTTGCTCTGTCCAGGGACGTGAGCCTGTTTCCGGCTAAAGACAACCAGGCCAGCTCCTGCAGCTCATCCAGCAGGCCTTTAGGAAGCCACAATAGCCCATTGAACGACAAGTCTAGTCCTCTTAGCCTCAGCAACCTCCTGAAAACATCCTTATTGATCCCCATACTTCCATGACTTTTATTTAATCCAAAAGCAATCTCTAGTTTCTCCACGTGGCCAGACAAGGATCCCAATTTACCACCGAGGTAGTTCCCAGACAAATTCAACCATCTTAAATTAGTCACACTGGAAAACACTCCGTCTTGTAGGTTGGAAAAATAGTTTTGAGATAGATCCAGGATTTCCAGGGAGCTGAGGTTGGACAGTTCAGAGTCCCCCAGAGAGGAGAGGTTGTTTTGGGAGAGGTGTAGCTCGAGTAAGTCCCGGTTCAGGATGGGTGTGACGGGAGTTAGAGACACAAGGCCCACACCAGTGCAGTTTGTGAAATTTGAGGAACAGATGCAGACTGCGGGACAGCCGTGCACCGAACCAAGCAGAGCCAGGACAGCCCAGACTGCAGAGAATATGGTGGTGCAAGCTGGAACAAAACAGACTAGAGTCATGGGGCAATCAAATGCAGAATCTCCATTGGTCATGGAAATGAATAGCAACCCGTATTTAGCGAAAGCACATGACTACAATCATATACTCGTAGAGCCAGTTGCAAAAGCTACATCTAATAGTAATCCAAGATGCAATCATACAACCATTTACCCAAAAAGTCACTTTGATAATAAAAAAACATAATTTCCAAATAGATATCCAACTCCATATATTCTACTTCTGAAATGTTTTGCACTGTCCATTGCACACATTGAGTATTTCTCTTTAAATATTACCATAATTTTCCTCATGATACTTATAAATTCGCCCTTATACTCATTACACACCACTCTCAGCCTTTATTCAGGCTATGTCTGGCTGATGACCAAAAGCCCCCCACATTCAGCGCTGCGGTCATTCTGTCTCATTTGAACTCCGCAGTCTGTTAAAAACACATGAGATGCACCAAGGGCAAGCTGAAAATAACACAATGGCCCGCAGAGATGCTTGTAGACGAGTTTCATATGACTTCATAACGTTTATTTGACCATAGTTTATTACATTTTCTCAGTAACATGATTACATTTTGTGAGCTGGCTGTGACTCACCCAGGCTGTCCAGACGCACTGGTCCATAGCACGAGATCTTCATGTCTGTTACATGGACTCAGCGGACTCTCTCTGGGCTTCCTCCTCACGCCAACCTCCTCTTGGCAAAATCATCCTGGCAAACACAACCGACAGACACAAAACATGATGGATGACCTATTATTTTGATTCCGAAAGACAATGATGGTGTCCTGCCAGTCAGTTTCATCTTTCTATTTTTTACAGAATAATTTCCCTCCAATATTAAAAGGTTTAAGGCATAGAAATAAGAACCACAATGAATTGGATGGTATATAAAGTGGTCCCTCAATATTGCACCATGCTCGCTTCACCCGCCTCTCTGTTTCTCTAATGGTTTTCTGTACAACTTGATTACAATGTGCTTCTCCGCGCATGTATAATCCAACAACTTTGTGTAAAACGTCATAAAACCGCTAGTATAACATGACAGTCACCTTTATTTGAAGTCGGTAGAAAAATTGTGTGGCTTTTGTGCTACTACCGCTTTTCCCATAGCCCTCAGTCCTGCTCCTGCCCCTCAGTGCGGTGTCCTCTGCAGCTGTAATTCACAGTGTATGCACAGCTTTTGACAGCTGCAGCAGCACTCAGACCTAAAACAAACAGGTTTGATATCTCGGTGATTGTACTTCAGCAGTCGAGATGGATAGAGAATTGAGTTGGATAATTTTTCTTATTTGCCTCTTGCATTAAAAAATATGCATTTAGAAACAATGTTTCTTATTACTTATTGAACCCTCGCCAGCTAAAATCTTGTATTTTTCACAAAGAAAATAGTAATGATCTCTTCACTATGGAAAATAATGTACAGACAATAAATGCCCCAAAATGGTTCTATCCATCTCTTTAAAGTTTAAAGTCAATAGTAATTATTGTGACCAGGGTATGCTCAAATCTATTGTCCAGAAGGATAGCTTTACCAATCATATTTATTCAGTCAAGGAATTTAAAGCCACAAATGCTTACATCAATAATAGCATTTTGTATTCAAAGATAGGAATTTCAGTTCTATTCAGTTTTATTTTGCTTATAGATAAGATTCCATTAAACTATACATAAGAAAAACATATTAATCTTGGGTTCTTGTCGTATCATTTGTAGTATAATATCACTAATTACTTAGACAAAAGAAACAAGAACAGACATTTTATTAACTATTCTAATTTGCTAGTCTTAAGCCGCATTTGTTTCTGTGAAAAGCTAACCCCTCCGCTACCGCCCCTCATACTTAATACATCTCGCATTTACAGCAGCCATATTTTCATTCTATAGGTGTACTGTGCGCTCCGGTTCTTAATCTCCATTGTTTGTTCACCCCAAAGCCCATTGCAACAGTTGGGGATGTAATATACTTGCTGTAATACGTACGCTGCCTGATCCTTGGACTCAAGTCAAATCCTCCTCCTTTTTCTCCTCCTCTCACTCTCCATCAAAAGTGTATGGATAACTCTTAATGCAAGATTAAAAGCATCGGACAGATTAAACCATCCACATCTTCCTCAAGCTCAAAAGCAAACGACTGTATATTGGCTGTAATTCACATTGCATTTTCTTTGGCTTCAATCCCGTCTCTTGGATAAAGCACTCAAGCAACACACGTTAAAATGAAGCAACTCTGTATTTTTAACCACCAACACTGGAGAAAAGTCAATGCCAACACAAGTCCTCGAAACTCCCACACAGTAGTCCACAAAACGGAGCAGCCGCAGCCTCGCTTCACACATACAACCAAGACAAACGCTTTTATAATTTGTTCAATCAAACTAAATAATTCAGTCAAAGTCATAGCCCCTTAGCCAAAAGCATTTGAATTTTATATTTATTTGAGAGTTTACAAACGGGGCCCCATCACAGTTTTAACCCTAAATGTGTGGTTCTGTCAGACCTCTGAAGATATGCAGGGCAAGGCCTGGTTAGTGCTGTGATGGGAGACCTCTGGGAACACCAGGTGCCACAGTGGAGCGGCTGCGGCTGTAATTTTCCAAACTGCTATTGGGTTCTTAGACACTTCTCCCATATTGACTAGAATGAGTCCGGTGTGTGTGTAAATGGTTGGTGGTGTTCGGAGGGGCTGATGGCACAAACTGGATGGCTTGCTTCTGTCAGTTTGTCCAAGGGCAGCTGTAGCTACAGTAGTAAGTAACAATCAATAACGGCATGTGAAGTGTCTTTTAGTGTCTGAAAAGCACTAAATATAACTGATGAATTTTTATTGTTACTAAATCTTCTTCCTTCAACATTTATTTTGAGAAGAAGTATGGTTTGATCAATCTTAGCTGCAGAGACTCACATAGTGTTGGACCATTACTAAAATACCACTGTTAGTAATGCTGTTTATTGAACTACATCCTTCTCAACACTCGCCGAGATATGAATTGCTTTCTCTGAGGATGTAATATTAACTTAAAGCTGAGGTGTCAAGCGTTTGTTTTGTTTCATAAATGCTTTTTGTTAGTCCCAAAACAAATGAATGAACAAATCAGATTACAACATGCTGTTTTTATCTTGTTAGAAAACATTTTGAAAAATCTGATCCAAAGATGTGACAAAAACAGTTTTGAGAGTGAGAAACTAGTTAACATAGATTCCATACGTAGTTGCACCATTATGTAGTTGTTCAATTTTTTTTTCCTTTTCTAGTTATTTATAGAACAGAAAAGATGCAGCCACATTCCATAACATAAGACAAAACTGGTGTTCATTTCAGAATGTGTCATCACCAAATTTTCAGCTCAGTCATTTCCCCCAGAGACTCGATTGGCAGCAGAGATAATACGTTTTTGAATGAGCAGATGCGGCTGGTGTTCGCCACATTAAATACAGCAGCAGTGTCAAGTATGCCTCTTCATTTCACGATCATTTCACTGTTTATGAATCAGCCTCAAATGGGGCTTGAATTGTGTCTTAATTACACCCTTTGTCCCCTCCACCGCTCTGTACTTAGCTCGGCGCCTCACATGTGACAGTGGAGACCAGTGGAGGGGTGGGAATTGGGGAGAGAGGGCTGTAGGGGGACAGAGGAGCCTTGTCACTCCATCACTGACAGCTGCCAAAAATACTCTGCCTCAGGATCTAAACCCTCCTCAGCAGGTCTATCCTTTGTTAAGTCCGAACCTCAAAGATGCCACTCAACTCTCCGCCGTGGACCGCAGGATGTGGGGAGCTGCCCTCAGGCCGCAAATGACATTACAAAATGCCAGGAATGACAATGCGGAAAGAGTAAGGAGATGTAGAGAGGAGGCGTGTGAGAATAAAAGGGGGTTTGCATCAACTCAAAAAAATGTGAAAAGACGAACGATCCCATGGAGAGTTGCAGTTTAACCTTGGCTAAAGGAGATTTTCGTATTATTTGCAACAATATACTTGCAAATATGGTTTTTCTGGCTTGAGTTGATAGACATATCTGGTCAAGCTCTGTTCCCACCCTCACCTATGGTCCTGAGCTTTGGGTGATGACCAAAAGGACGAGATCGCTGAAACAAGCGGTCTACATGAGTTTCCTCCGCAGAGTTGGAGGAGCTCAGAGTAGAGCCGCTGCTTCTCCACGTCAAAAGGAGCCAGGTGAGGTGGCTTGGGCATCTGTTTGGGATGCCTCCTGGACGCGTCCCAATGGGAAGAGACTCCAGGTAAGACCCAGGACACGTTAGAAGGCCTATGTCTCTTAGCTGGCTTGGGAACACCTCAGGATTGGGAAGACTGCTGCCCTCACGACCCGACAAGCGGAAAGAAATGGATGGATGTGAAGACTGACAGAACTCTTCCTCTTTTGGTGCAGTGAGGATTAGCCTCATTTACCTGGCCTTAAACAAGAACTCCAGCCATCTAGCTTGGAGTTTATCATAAACTATTTGACTGATAGGAGGATCCATACAACTGGTTTTAGCACAGCCGTCCCCTTTCCACTTATCACAGCTGTGTTAAAATGTTCTTACTTAAGTGTTTCACCTTGCTAGTCCTGAAACTGTTGATAGTAATCCGTTCTGTCACCTGATGGATTTGGTTGTGAGATCAAAAGCAGTCAGTTTCCTGTTTGAAAGTGTTTTCATGTCTGATATCTCTACCAGCCCTTAGGCAAAATGAACATCTTTGGTCTCATAGGGATGCCATTGGGATTTGGTTCATATTAATCAGGATTTCTGTGATTAACCGCTGTTTGAATATTAAGTATAGTTGCACTTGTAAGAAGCATCAATACATTCTTCCAATAATATTCATTATCAACACAGTAAACTTACATAGTGGTAAGGTAATTGTAAATCTCAATATTGATCTTAAACAACTTTTTAACAGAAAAACATGTATCACAATGTATCTTTTTGTCATTGTAAAAACAAGTTCTTGATCAGTAACATCAGCAGCATCTAATAAAATTACAATCAGACACCTAAATCTAAAGCAGACTTGAAGATTTTTTTCTATGCAGTATAAGTATGCAGTATTTTCAAAATGCTACAGCTCGAGTCCTGACTAGAACCAAGAAGTACGACCACATTAGTCCAGTTCTCAGGTCTCTGCACTGGCTTCAAGTGGCTCAGAGAGTAGACTTTAAAGCTGCTTTGCTTGTTACAAGTCTCTCCATGGCCTCGCACCAAAGTACATCTGTTAGTGCCATATGAACAGGGGTGAACATAACCTTTTCAGTGAGGTACTCAGATGAGTACCAGGAGATGGTGTTTGGTGCTCACTCTTAATTGAGATTTTATACTTGCTTCTTTTTAATACTAAAGTTTAGTTCAGCTCAGATAATCCACTCAATCCAAGTCAAATAATGACTTTTTTGTTGTTGCATTTTTAAGAAAGAGCCCTGCTCTTTCTTTAAAAATACAAAAAATAAAATACAATCAAAACAATGTAACGCAATATGTATTTTTTTTTTTTTTTGCGTTACGCAAAAACACACACTTGCAGAGAATGGTCCGCTCTGGGTATATAATGACCCCGTTCGGCTACGTGCTCGCCGTGTTGTCGTCAAGGATTGGCTGTCATTACAAAGCGGCCGGAGTGGCTCTGGAGTCAGAACGCTGC